GAGCAGGGATTGTCTGTAGGAAGGGGCTCAGCAGAGCTCCCCACACCTGTGACAAGGGTGGTTGCACTGGCGGGGGCGGGTTGTCCCCCAATGCCAAGGGTCAGCTGAACTCCCATCATGAGGTGTGTTTGCAGGGACCATGGAAAACCCTTCAGGTAGCAAAGCTGTTAAATGCCAGTGGCCCCCTCCACATGTCCTGTCTGCTCCAGTGCCGGCTGTCCAGTGACTTGCCAAGACCAGCACGATCACTGAAGCCCTGGGTGCCACTTAGGCCTTATTTGTCAGAAAAGTCAGCAGTGTCCCCACTCAGGCCATGCTCTGGACAGCATGCACGAGCTGCATGACAGTGGCTGGAAGGGTTCCAGCCCCAGCAACCCAACAAGGGCTGGACGCTCTGGGGAGGTGGTAGGAGCGGGGAGCAGACAGGGCTGCTGCCTGCAGTGTCCAGGCTGGCACCTTGCACTGCTCTGGTCGGGGTGTGGGGATGTCAGCCGCAGCCCCACTGCAGGGTGCCATGCTGACACCCAGCCTGGTGGCACTGGGATGCCTGGGGAGCCCAGATCCAAGACCAGGAGCTTTGCTGGAACTTGTGTCCATGGCCATTTCCAAGGCAGGGCTTGGACTGTTGGAGAATCTGGGAAGCTGTTTAAATGCAGCCAGCCAAAACGCCTGTGCTGGAAATCCTGCGCTGCAGGGCCGGCTGATCAAAGGGAGGATAATCCTGGGTTTAGGAAGGAAGAGGATAGGTCTGAAGTAGCAGTTGGTCCAATTTGGGTCAGGCTGTGAAGGAATTCAGCCCAAAAGGCCACTGGGTGTGCTTGCTGGCTGGAGGGGGAAAATGCAGCCCTGGGATGGGGGCATCCTACTCCACCATCCCACCCCTGACCCCCACCCCTGCTTCTCTGGCACGCTGCAGCTGGAGTGGTTCTGCTGTGACGCTGCCAGCACGAGCCAGCACTGCTCTGATCATCGGTGATCTCTGCCTCAGTGGGGCTGCAAGGGCTGTGTGGCCTCTCCAAGGGTCGCCCTCCCCAGAGCAGCTGTCAGACACTCCTGTGCAGGGTAGAAGGAAGATGGGTGGGCTCAGAGATGCGCCCTTGGCCATCCCCGTCTGCCTTAGGCGCCCCAGGCCAACAGCCCAGGGCCAGGCAGTGTGTGTACAGCCAAGTCCCCTTGATAGCCGGAGGTGACAGAACAGCAGCGTGGCCTTCCTGGCTAGCAGCTCCTGCAAAACGGCAGCAGCTGGGGACATCAGCCAGGGCCACGTGCTCACCCATGTGCTCGCTGGCCTGCTGGGGTCACCCTGGGGTGCCCCTTGCTGCAGGCAGAGCCCCGGGAGTCCAGGTGTCCTGTGGCAAACGTCAAGGTGTCCTGTGTACCTGCAGGGGAACCCCAGGCCATCCCTAGTGCCATGAGCAGCCGTCGCACTGCTGCTGCTCCTGGGGCTGAGGGGAGCGGGGTGGGGGTGGCGCAGGGGATTCCGGAGCCGTCAGCAGCCCTGTGCAGGAGCACAGACGGAAACATGGAGGGCTCTGAGGTCGGGGCTGTCCCCGCCGTGGCCCCCCTCATCCACTGCACCTCCTGGCAGTGCCGCAGCCCTGGTGCCCGATCCCTGGCTGGGGCTCGCTGAGCCCTGGATGCTGTGGAGGGCACGGGCCCTTGGTCGGGCAGCAACCTTGGCAGCAGCTGCGGTTAATTAACCCGTGGGGGGTGGCTGCTGGGGCTACCCCAGCCAGTGCTCAGTGCCCTGTGCCGTGTAAAGCGATTAGGGAGGATTTGGGATAAGGGGCATGACGCTTCCCAACCCAATTTAGGACTAAGTAAAAAGCCATTAGAAGATCAAATTGTGGTTGGTGCTGCTGCCTGAGCCCTGCCTTGGGGGGCTCCGAGGGTGCTGTGACGGTCCTTTGGCGCTGCCGCCTTTGCTCTGGGCTGCCCCTGGCAGACAGGTTGGTGGAAGCCCTGCTGAGAGTGGGGCTGCGCGGTGCCCACGGCGGGGCTGCGGGTTCCTGCCAGCGATCCCGCTGCCAGCCCTTCCAGCCGCCGCAGCAAATTAAAAGGCCGATTCGTGTTGAGTGATCCCTGGGGAGGGGGGCGGCTGAGCGCCGGGATCGAAGCCTGGCACGGCACGGCTCGGCTCTGCTCTGCTCACACTGTCTCTCCCGGCTCGGCTGCTGGCCTCGGGGCTGCTAGCCCGGTCCAGCGCTCCGGCCCTGCGCCGCTCTGGCGGAGCGGGGCAGGGGCAGCCCCGTGGGCGTTGCTGGGACTGGCAGTGTCCCACGTGTCCCCAGGGCTGGGAGGCAGCGCCCCGATTGTGCCGCCGGGCAGTGCTGGCCGTGGCAGTGGCAGGCGAGGGCCGGGGGCATTGCTCCTGCCTGCCCTGGCTGCCCCTGACTTCAGACCGCGGGTCTGAGGCAGCTACCGGGGAGAGGCTGCACCAGCCCCGCTGCGGCAAAATGGTCTCCGTCAGGAGCAGGAGCAGGAGCGGGAGTGCTTTGTCACCTGGGACCCCGCGCCCTGGTGCTTAACTCCTTCCAGTCTGTGGGGCTGCAGCGACGTGGGAGACTGAGAGTCTCCCGAGCCGTGCTGCATCTCATGCTCACCAGCCCGGGGCCTCTCCCGGTGCTGGTGCTCGCAGCAGCATCCCCAGGCGAGGGGCTGCTGCGGCACGGGCCAGCCCCAGCAGCCTGGGCGATGTCAGCACGGGCCGTGGCCCTGGCCTGAGGAGCGCTGGCCAGAGGTGGGGACGGAGGGTCTGCGAGCTGTGGGTGCTGTTGTGATGCCGTGGGCTGGAGCTCGGGCACCCCAGGGTGCCGCTGGCGCCTGTCGTGTGCAGCCCAGCAGGGCAGTCCCGTGGGCTCGGGGGCTGGGGCCGGGCTCCGGCCGCACCATCCCTCAGGCGCCGGCGGGCCGGGGCGCGGGTGCCATGTGGGGCCAGCGTCCGGCTGCCTGCGCCGTTACATAAGAGCGGGAGCCGAGGCGGCCGTGGCTCGCCGTTGCCATGGAAACCTGCACGGTGATGTCGTCGGCTGGGTACCAGGCGGTGAGGCGAGGCCCCCGCGGGCTCCGTTCTCCCGGAGGGGTCCCAGAGCCTTGCCACGTTTCGAGCACGTCTCCCTGCCAAGCTGCCCGTGTCCCCCGGTGCCACCCAGCCCCAAAGGGGAGGTGAGCTCCAGCCACCCCTGCTCCTGCACCCTTGTGTCACCTCACTGGGGTGGCCACAGCATCAGCCTGGAGGGTGTCCTGTCAGCGTGGCTGACGTTTCACATCAGTATGGTCCCCTGGGCTGGTGCAGGTGGGCAAGAGCTGTGGCGAGTGGGTGGTTGCCAGCTCACACCATTGCTGTTATCTAATGACAGCAGGGTTCAGTGGGGCTTTAGACCAAATACAGAGCAAGGTGCGCATGAGGTTTGTGATGAGATCTGTTGTGGGAGATGCAGGGCAGGCACATGGCAGTGGTGCAACCTGAGGTGCTGGGTGTGTGTCCAAGGGGACTCTGGAGAGAAGCCTGTGAGCCAGGGTGTCCCGGTGGCACTGCCATGGCCACTCCTGCACAGGAGGAGCCTGTGGGCTGTGCCCTCAGGGACACTGCTGCCCTGCTGTCCCAGGCTGGAGGAGCCCAGGGATGGTGGGAGTTTGGGGCCAGCCCGCAGGTCTGTGTCACCTGTAGCATTTGAGACTTCACCTCCTGGTCAGCCAGGAGCACCCTGTCTGCCAGGGAATTGCAGATGGTGAATCACTGCTGCACACGGGCTTCCAGGATCCCGAATATGAGTCAACTGGCAGGAGAACGGCGGTCTTCAAAGGGCCAGGATGCTCCAAACGGTCGCAGGGTTTGTCTTGTGGCCACCACCATGAGTGGGTGACTGCACTGCTAGGGCATCATACATCTGCCCCAGGGCACTCATGGGCTCCATGCTGAAGGATGGTGGAGGGGGCAGTTCTCTCCCTGGTCCCAAAGCATGGAGCTGGTCTGTGACCCTGCCCATGTGGGCAACCTGCCCAGCAGTGCGGTGGCCAATGGCAGTGTGGCTGCTCTGGCTGCAGGGCTGTGGTGGGATGGGTGTGTGGCAGGGAGCCTCTCTCCCCTCACTGAGGGCTGGGGACTAGCCTGGCTGCCCAGGTTTCTCCGTGCCATGGGTGCCTCCTCAGCTGCTCTGCCCAGGACTGTGTCCTTTGGCTCCTGGTCCGTCTCTGCTCTGGACCTTCTCTTGGAGCTGTGCTGCTCCAGCAGCGACATCCTTACTGCTGCTCCATTTCCAGCTTGATTTATTTCTGCTGCTCTGCAGCTCAGCTGTTTTCATCGCTGTTAAGCCAACTCCAGGTTTCTTCTGCACTAGGTCATTAATGCAGTGAGTGGCTGTGGCCCCTGTCCTGGTAGTTCTATGGTCCTGGCACTGCTGTGGGTGGCTCCACTGCCCCGGGCATCATCTGCCCTCAATGATGTCACCTCCTGCCCTGTGGCCCCCACTCCTGTGGCGCATGTCTGGGAGGAGGACCAGACACCTGGCCGGTCGCCCTGCTCCCAGGCACTGCGCCGGGACCATCCCCTGTGCTGACGCTGAGCAGCCATCCAGGTCCTGCCCCGCGGACGCAGCGCTGAGGGCAGTCCCGGCACGCTCACCCGCGGGCAGCCCGTGCCGTGAGTTATTGCTGCCGTGCGTGCCGCCGGAGGCTGCCCCCGATGCACTCCGCTCGCCTCTCTGCGTGGATGCGCTCCGCCGGGCCCACGTGTCAGCAGGGCCGGGCAGGGCAGCGTGTGGCTCCTGGGGATGGCAGCCCCTGCCCGTGTGCGGCGTGGGAGGTGATGCTGGGGTCTGGGATGGGTTCTGGCATTGCCTGTGCTGGGTCTGGGCGTGAGCATGGTGCCACAGCCCCGGCAGCTCTCCTTGCAGCCACGGGCAGCCGTGACCCCTCACAGCGGTGACCCTGTGGGGTGGATGTTCTGCAGGTGTGGGTGGGGCAGGGGTTGCCTGACTGACTCAGTGGTGTTTCTGCAGGCGATGGCAATCCCAAGGAGAGCAGCCCCTTCATTAACAGCACGGACCTGGAGAAGGGCAAGGAGTATGATGGCAAGAACATGGCCCTCTTTGAGGTAGGGCATGCAGGCAGTGGGGCACGGGGAGGGAGCTGGGCTAAGCAGCTGTCCCACAGCATCCAACCTGCACCCCGGGCACTGGGACATGCCAGAGCCCCAGGCCGGGGTTGCCACAATGCCAAAGCCATTCCTGGAGGGACAGGCAGTGGGGTAGCATCTGGTGAGGTCTCCTGGGGTTGGCTGGGGTCCCAGGGGACAGTCCTCACAACTTGGGATCTGCTTTCCACAGGAGGAGATGGACACCAGCCCGATGGTCTCGTCCCTGCTGAGTGGACTGGCCAATTACACCAACCTGCCACAGGGCAGCAGGGAGCACGAGGAGGCTGAGAACAATGATGGAGGCAAGAAGAAGCCGGTGCAGGTGAGGACTTAGGGGGGAGGTAACCTTCCCTCCCTCTCCAGCCCTTGCCTGTGTAGTGCCAGGCCATAGACTGCTCTGGGAACAGGGGACCCCTTGGCCTCAACCAGGGGCAGGTTTGCCCTGGGTTCCTGGCTGCTTTGTGGGAAGGGTGGGACCTTTTGCTCTTCTGCCAGCCAGGCCCTTGATCCCTGGTAACTGCTGTTCCCTCAACAGGCCCCACGGATGGGCACCTTCATGGGTGTCTACCTGCCCTGCCTTCAGAACATCTTTGGAGTCATCCTCTTCCTGCGTCTCACCTGGGTGGTGGGCATCGCTGGCATCATGGAGTCATTCTGCATGGTCTTCCTCTGCTGCTCCTGCGTGAGTTTTGGAGCCAGATAAGCCTTCACTAGCCTTGCCCATGGCCTGAGGTCATCAGTCTGGCTGGCTGGACTATGGAAATGTGCACTAGCTGCCAGCCCACCATGCCCTGCCCCAGCTCTGCTCCTGCCCCTGCTTCTGCCCCTGCCCCAGCTCCTGCCCCACTTAGAACAAGGAAAAGCCTTCAGTTTCCCAAAGGAATCAGCAGTGGAATGGTGCTTAAATGGTGACCCAGATCATATCTGCCATGTAGGGGGATGTGCTGGGGGTCCCCTGCTCTGGTACCATGCAGAGAGCCACCTTGCTAGGACAGTCACCCCAGGGCAGAGGCTGGGAAGTCTGGCCTTGTCCAGTATCCTGGACAGCCTGAGCCACCCCAGCGCTGCCAGCCCCTCCAAGGGCTCAGCTCTGTCAGCTGTGCTGCCAGCCAGCAGCCCTGCCTGCCCATCCACACATCCATCCATCCATCCATCCATCCATCCATCCATCCATCCATCCATCCATTCATCCTCCCTGGGCATCCCTGCCCTGTGGCACCTCTCAGCGTGGCCCCAAGAGGCCCCATGTCCTAGCATGGCCCCAGCTCTCCCTTCACTCCCCTGTCCCTCTGCCCAGCTCCTGAACACACTGTGTTTCTTCCCGCAGACGATGCTGACGGCCATTTCCATGAGTGCGATCGCCACCAACGGTGTGGTGCCAGGTAGAGCCAAGCCCGCCTCCATGCTGTGCCACGGGCAGCTGGTCCCTGCCGGGTGGGGTGCCTGCAGGGGCTTTTCCCAGAGAGCATCCCCCGGGGCTGCCAGCCGCTCCCCAGCCTTCTGCCACCAGCCCGCGCGGGATCCCCACGGCCCGGGGGAGCGCGGAGCTGGAGCCGCCACCCGTCCCCAAAGCCGCGAGGTGCAGATGGCAGCGAGAGCCGCCAGCCGCGGCTCCTCCCTCCGCCAGACTGGCGAGGCCGCGGGGAGCCGGGAGACACACGGCAGGAGGATGGGAGCAGGGCGTGCTGAGTGCCACGGGCTGGGCGATGGGATGGGCTCTGCCACCGCCGGACACAGGGACGCTGCTGTGTGTGGGCTCTGCCCCCCAGGAGGCACCGTGGGCTCTGGCCGGTGGGTGCCCTGGCTGCCTCCCCCGGATCATGGCAGCCCTGCAGAGCCCTGGGGAGCCGTGAGCTGCGCCGGGCTGGGCACAGCACTGACAGCCCAACACGGGGTGTAATTAAAGCTATTTATCATCCTGCTGCTGCAGCGGGACCATTGATCTGGCAGCCCAGCTCTAAAGGCTCCTCTGGGAGGATGGAGCAGGGTATGGCCCAGGTCCCTGGGGCTCCAGCTCCTGTCTGGTGTCCAGGGAACACCTGTGCCATTGGCCATTGCACCTGGCTGCTGGGGAATGACTCTGCCAGTGTGGTCACTCCTGCTGTTCTGCATCTTGCACAGTGCTGGAGCAGGGCCCATGGCTATCCTGGCTCCAGTCTGCTCTCTGGGATACCTGGCAGGGCTGAGGGTGTCACTGGGGTCTGGCTGGGACCCACTTCTGCTCTCTCTGACAGCGGGTGGCTCCTACTACATGATCTCACGCTCCCTGGGACCTGAGTTTGGTGGGGCTGTGGGGCTCTGCTTCTACCTGGGCACCACCTTTGCCGGTGCCATGTACATCCTGGGCACCATCGAAATCCTGCTGGTAGGTACCTGGTCCTTGCCTTGTGCAGTGCCATGGGCTCAGCTCATGGCAGGGCAGGGGGCCTGAAGGACCTTTCTTCTGGGGCCCCTCTGCAGGCTGTTAGCCAGGTGGTGATGCCATGACTCTTTCCCAGGCCTACATCTTCCCAGCCATGGCCATCTTCAAGGCAGAGGATGCCAGCGGGGAGGCAGCTGCAATGCTCAACAACATGCGTGTGTATGGCACCTGTGTGCTGACCTGCATGGCCACCGTCGTGTTCGTGGGTGTCAAGTATGTCAACAAATTTGCCCTGGTCTTCCTGGGCTGTGTCATCCTCTCCATCCTTGCCATCTACGCTGGTGTCATCAAATCAGCCTTTGACCCACCAAGCTTCCCGTGAGTACGGGGTCCTGCAGGGATGCACCAGGGCTGGGGCATGCAAACCCCCTGAGTGCTGAGTGCCCGTGTCCCCCCAGGATCTGCCTCCTGGGCAACAGGACCCTCTCACGCCACGGCTTCGACCTCTGCACCAAGATGGTGGTGGAGGGGAACGAGACAGTTGGCTCCAAGCTCTGGGAGCTTTTCTGCACCTCCCGCTTCCTCAATGCGACCTGCGATGAGTATTTCACCATGAACAATGTCACTGAGATCGAGGGCATCCCTGGTGCTGCCAGCGGCCTCATCCAAGGTGAGCACATGCCAACAGAGGCATGGGAATGTGGGCGTGGGCATGAAGGCATGGGAGTGGAAGCATGGAGAAGGAAGTGCAAGGGAGCTGTGGTGGGGCAGTGGCTGTGCCGGGTGGGCAGCTCTGCCAGCAGGGCTGGTGGAGGTGTGCTGTGGGAGGCCATCCTAAGCATGGCTCCTCAGCCATGCCAGGTGTTGTGGGGGCAAACGGTGCTGGGTCCAGGTGGGAGAGCATGTGGGAGATCCCTGCTGGGGCCTGCTCTGCTCCTGAGGCACGGGGAGCTGTGCTCATGCTGTGCTGGGCAGTGGGACACACACCTGCACTGGCTGACAGAGCAGGGTGCTGCAGCCACCTGCATACAGTCTGTGTCAGCCAGTGGGGTGGCTCAGAATGAAGCCCAAAGGCTGGGGAGGAATAAATCCTCCCTCTGCTTCCTCTTGGTCTTTGGAAAGGCTGGTATCGATTTGAGGTTTTGAGAGAAGTGATCACCCCTTGGGGCCACTTAGCTACTCTGGCTACTGCCCTGCTGGGAGAGTGGCCAGGACCACAGAAAGATGCGTGAATTTGCTGGGAGGAGCCACTTATGACCTGTTTTTCTGGAGATGCTGATATATCTGCTAGGTGCTCATGCTCAGCAGTGGGTGGCAGAGGCTGATGCTCTGTGCCACATTCAGAGGGTGTCTGCAGACCCTCATACTGGAGTGGTTGTTGGAACTCAGGAAAGCAGCAGAGCCATGAGCAGGATCAGTCCTTCCTGATGGCTGTGGAGCTGCCCTGGTGTCTGCGTGGACACGGGCATGGGAGGTCAGACTTAGCTAAGCACGTGGTGCTCAGGGCTGCAGCTGTGATGGTGATTAGTGGAGCACAGTCACAGGGTGTTTGGGAGCCTCCCAGAGATGTTGCACTCTGAGGTCTTTTGGATCAGATAAGGAGTTCCTGGTTGCTGGGTGGAACCTGCTCCTGTTGGCAATGGTGCTGCTGGGGAGGGGGTGCAGACCCCCACCCACCCAGCTGGTCTCTCTCAGGGCAACAGGCAGCAAACATTCCTGCACTGGGGGCATTGGGACAGAGCCAGGACCCCACTCTGGGGTGGCTGGTGACAAGGGTGACTGGCCCAGCAGCATCTTAAGACGGGTGGCACAGTTTGACCCTGGCAGAGATGACTGCGGCTTGCTGTGCCCTAGGTGAGGGGTGGGGAGAAACACAACGTTTCAGGGAGGATGAGACAGGCGAGGCCAGTGGGGGTTGCCAGCCCCATCTGCCACCTGTGAGCAGCCATGAAGGGGGCTCAGTGCCGGGGGCTGAGGGCTGGCTCTCCTCTCTGCAGCCCCCCGGCAGTGACATGCCAAGGGCAGTTGCCTCTGCCCGCCCTGCCCGGTGCTGGCTGCTCTCCACTGCTCCAGTTTCTCCCTGCGATCTGCGGCCAAAGCAGCACACGGAGGGACGCTAAGCCTGTTACATCAGCCCCACACTCATAATCCCATCAAAAACATTATCAAGTTACTTTGACACGATCCACTTCCCTTAAACCTGTGTTGATCAGCATTAATTATATTACCCTCTTAATTATTTGCTACTGCAATCCCATGTCAGCTGCTCCAGTATCTTGTGGGGACGCTGCCAACAGCAGTATGAAGCTGCTCTGGTTGCCCACCTGTGCTGCCACCCTCACCCTCGGGATGCCCGTGGCCCCGTGTGCTGGCAGAGCTGGCTGCTCAGTGAGGCCAGGGAAGGGGTGGGCGAACCAGACACCCCCCAGTTCCATTCCACCCCAGTGGGGTGGGCATGCTGTGCTGGGTATGGGGGCTTGCAGGCATCTCACGCTGGAGGCACTGCCCGTCCTCCTCCCTCCTCACAGAGAACCTCTGGAGCTCATACCTGACCAAGGGCGTGATCGTGGAGAAGCGGGGGCTGCCCTCAGTGAGCTCCCCCGACACCCCAGTGGACATGGACCAGCCCTACGTCTTCAGCGACATGACGTCCTACTTCACCCTGCTCGTCGGCATCTACTTCCCCTCGGTGACAGGTGGGAGCCGCGGGCACACCGGGCACGTGCCGCCGGGCGTGCTCCGGGAGCCCCACGTGTGCCACCCCCGCGCTGGGTGCGGCGGTGACAGCGGCGTCGCGGGGGCGGCTGGTCGCCATCGCCTCCCCCGCAGCCGCCCGCGCTGCAGATCTGACGGTGCCGCCCGGTGCGCGCTGACGTCCCGCCGCTTCGGTATTTTTAGCTCTCCGGGGGCAGAGGAGCCCCCCCGCCCCAGGCCCGCTGCGGAGCCGAGCGGGGCGCAGCCTCCGGGGCTGCCCTGCAGCTCCGCCGGGGACAAGCCTGGCGGGAGCCCCCGGGCTGCCCCGGGCATGGCGAGCGCTGGAGGGTCCGGCGCTGCGGGGTCCCCGGCAGCCGCTCGGCCTCCGCCGCCCTCTCTCCCGCTGCCGTTCACCGGCAGGTGCCGGTTTCTGCAGAACGCCTGTCCCCCGGTGCCGCGGGCCCTGGGGTCATCCCTGGGGCTGTGGTGAACCCGCCTGTGCGGCCGTGTCCCTGCGTGACCTCCTGCCCTCCCAGAGCAACGTCGGGGCTGGACCCTGTCCCTGCCCCTGCGGCGGCCACCGTCCGTGCTTGAGCTAATTAAGGGCTAATGAGACAAGGCACTTGAGAGCTTTTGAGCTTAATCCTTGAGTGGCCTCAGACTGCGGTTTGGGGTAGGGGGGGCAGTGCTGGGGGGGTGAGAAGAGCAGGCTGGGTACCCCAAGCCGCAGCAGCACCTTCTCTCCTGTCCATCAGGGCTGCTTCCCATCCTGGCGCACACCGAGCCGTGCCCTGCTGTGCCCAGGACTCACACAGTGCCAGGCGTGAGGGTATCTGGGACGGGTATGGGCTGTAGCTCTGCTCCCCCTGACACCATCCCCTCTTTCCATAGGCATCATGGCTGGCTCCAACCGCTCTGGGGACCTGCGGGATGCACAGAAGTCCATCCCCACGGGCACCATCCTGGCCATTGCCACCACCTCTGCGGTCTGTATCCTTCAGGGCTTGCCTGAGCCTGGGCTGTGGGGCTGAGGGTGCGTGGGCTGTGCAGGGCAGGTCAGCTTGGGTGCTTCACTGGGCTGGGACAGGGCCCCAGCACCCACTGGCTGGGCAGGCAGGACTCTGCATCCTCCTGGCTCTCCTTGACTACCTGGCAGATATCAGCTCTGTTGTCCTCTTTGGAGCATGCATCGAGGGGGTCGTCCTGCGTGACAAGTGAGTGTCCCAAGGCCATGGGGGCATGGAGAGTGTAGCAGCCCCCCAGAATGGGCTGGGGCAGGAGCAGCCCCAGGGGCAGACAGAGGTGTGGGGAAGGCTGCAACCAGGACACACTGGGCAGACATGGGGGCATTGGGGGGCTGGTGGGCGTAACCAGGTAGGGGGGTTGGTGCTTGTAACAGGCACTGGGGGCTTGTGTGCATCCCAGCCATCCATGTTTGCTGCATTCCTCCCCCTCCGGAGCTGCAGAAAGCCACTTGTTTGTCAACAGGCAGGGCTGTCTGTGCTCCTGCCTATCTGGGGCAGCCCTGCTCACCGCACGTGGCAGGTGACACTTCTGGGTCGCCAGCACCAACACAAACAGGATCCAACTGCATGCATCATCATTGCCCTCCCTGGCACAGGGACGAGGAGTCCTGTCCCACACCTGTCCTTGTCCTTGGCCACGCTGACAGGACAGGGATGAGGACAGATCCCTCACAGCTCTGAGCCTGCTCCATTGCTCACCCCTTGAATCAACATCCCAGTCGTGTCACATCCCTCCAGAGTGGTGCTGTTGTGGCGGGCTGGGTGGTGCTCGGCCATGGGATGGAGCTGCAGGTGATGCTGATGCCCCGCAGGTTTGGTGAGGCTGTCAACGGGAACCTGGTGGTTGGCACCCTGGCGTGGCCGTCCCCGTGGGTCATTGTCATTGGCTCGTTCTTCTCCACCTGTGGGGCTGGGTTGCAGAGTCTCACCGGAGCCCCCCGCCTCCTGCAAGCCATCTCCAGGGATGGGATCGTACCCTTCCTCAGGGTAGGTGACCCCCGAGTCCGGTGTTTCCCCACCGCGATCGCCCACTGGGACCCCACCCTGCCTCCTCCCGGCACCGTGGCTGCCGGAGCAGCCCCGCTTCCCTGCCCTCATCCCGCCGGCACCGGCACGGCGGTGGGCGGCCGTGGTGGCTCTGGCTGCGGTATCGGTGGGAGGAGAGTGTCGGGAAAGGTCAGAATTCCCTCCCCCCCGCTGCCGTGCCGCTTCATATTTTATCTGCTCTCTGAAGACGCGTTCCCACAACCTCATCTCTCCAAATCCAACCCGACAGCTCCCCCCAGGGAAGAGCAGGCTAATTTTATCCTCCTCCTTCTCCTTGCCAGCCCCAGCCCGAGCTCTCGCTCGCTCCGCCCGCACCCTCTAATGCGTCCGGACACGCGGCCCCGGCCCCCTCCCCGGTCCCCTCAGCCGCAGGAGGGGCCACTGTCCCCCGGCTGCGAGTCCGTCCCAAGTACGGGGTGCCCGACTCTGTGCTGGCTGTGGCCAGGCTGTGAGCTGGGGCTCCTCCCTGGTGGGGTACAGGGGCTGCTGTGCTGGGTGTGGGGCGAGCCACGGGATCTGCCGGGAACGGGACTGTGCTGTCAGCAGGAGCCAGCCCTGGGACTGCTTTCCTGGCAGATTCCAATGGGACACGTGCCAGCTCACGGCACCCAGTGTTCCCAGTCCCTGCTCCTGCCAGGGCTGGGTATATGGGAGAGTCCAGTCTCAGGCTGCACTGAGTACCCTTGCCCAGGGCTACGGGGCACCGCAGAGCCTGACACGCCCCTCTCCCCTCATTTCCAGGTCTTTGGCCATGGCAAAGCCAACGGGGAGCCGACATGGGCCCTGCTGCTCACAGCCTGCATCTGCGAGATCGGGATCCTGATCGCCTCCCTGGACGAGGTGGCTCCCATCCTCTCCATGTAGGCAGCGTGCTGTCGACCTGCACCTTCACAAGCAGCGGGTGGCGTGTGTGGGTCTCTGCTCCTCGGGGAGAGGGGGGAACGCACCTGCTGCCCTGGCCCTTGCTGCCCTGGCCCCTGCCTGGGAAGAGGGGGGCCCTGCAGGAACTCTGGGGTCACACCTTGGCCAGCATTGAGGCTTGGTTTGTCCATGGCACTGCTTCTCTGTCCATCAGTGGTGCTCCAGCACTGGCCACTCTGGGGCCAGGAGGTGAGACTTCAGTCCCTCACAGTGCACCCACTCAGCCCCCTGCTCTCTCCTGCAGGTTCTTCCTCATGTGCTACATGTTTGTCAACCTGGCGTGTGCGGTGCAAACGCTGCTGCGGACGCCCAACTGGCGGCCCCGCTTCCGCTACTACCACTGGTGAGCCGGGCGGGAAGGGGCAGCACAGGGACACCCCAGGACACCCCGCTGTGGGGGCCCCAGGGCTGACAGCTCTGTGCCCTCTGCAGGACCCTGTCCTTCCTGGGCATGAGCCTCTGCCTGGCGCTGATGTTCATCTGCTCCTGGTACTACGCACTGGTGGCCATGCTGATCGCTGGCCTCATCTACAAATACATCGAGTACCGCGGGTAAGGGAGGCCACGGTGCTGCAGGTCCTGGCCAGCCCCCGTGGCCACATGGCCTCTCAGTGTGGCTGCTCAGCTCCCCCCGGGCTGCTTGGAATCCCAGGATGCTCCAGGGTGCCAGCGTGGTGCTCTGTGGCCAGAGCCATGGGCATCCCTGACGTGCTGCTGGTTCCTGCAGGGCGGAGAAGGAGTGGGGTGACGGGATCCGGGGCCTGTCCCTGAGTGCAGCCCGCTATGCCCTGCTGCGGTTGGAGGAAGGGCCCCCGCACACCAAAAACTGGAGGTAGGGCTGGGCAGGGAGATGGGATCTGAGGGTTCCGGTGCAGGGACAAGCTGGGTGCGGGCACTGACTGCAGGACCTTCCTTCCAGGCCACAGCTGCTGGTCCTGGTCCGTGGGGATCAGGAGCAGAACGTGGTGCACCCGCAGCTCCTGTCCTTCACGTCGCAGCTCAAGGCTGGGAAGGGCCTCACTATCGTGGCCTCTGTGTTAGAAGGGACCTTCCTGGACAACCATCCTCAGGCACAGAGGGCGGAGGAGGTGAGAGCTGCGTGTACTGGGACAGGCTGTGCCAGCAGTAGGTCCACAGCTGCCCAGGGTTGCTTCTGCCCCATGGCCAGCGTTGGTGGCCCTGGAGCTTTCGAGTGGCATCAGGCAGAGCCCGAGGACTCCATGCTTCACTGGTGCTCACAGTACCACAGGGACCTCTGGACTCCTCTTCCCCTCCAAGACACCAGAGATGCTGGCACCAGCCAAGCACTGGTCCCAGTCTTGGCCAGCTGCTGCAAGACTTGGCACAGCATGGCACGTCACAGCACAGCACAGTGCCCAGCCAGGGGCTGCTGTGCTGAGTGGACTCCTCAGCCTCAAACCTCACCACGGTCTCCGTGGCCCTGGTGCCAGGCAAGGTGGGAGATGAGCCTTTCCCCGCCAGAGTGAGAGCACTCCCCACCCCCTGCACCCGCGGGGCGGCACATTAATGAGATTAAGCCCTTGGAAGCAAACAGTTTCTCTCCCATGCAGACATGTTATAATTTCTCTGAGTAAATAACTCTAATTGCTGCTCTGCCACCTGTCAGAGCCCTGGCACAAGGACACCCTCCACTCTGCACGGAGCAGAGCTGTGTGCCAGCTCTGCGCTCCACTGGCTATCACCCCCCTGGCCTGGAGCCACTGGCCTGCCATGGGGCACAGAGACCCAGGCACCCTGGGAGGACCTGCAGCCTGCACCTCGCAGCCTGCACCCTGCATCTCACAGCCCTGTACCCCATACTCTGCACCCCCCATTCTGTACCCTGTACCCCCCATTCTGTACCCTGTACCCCATATCCTGCACCCTGTGCCTCATCTGGCCTGGGTTGGGCCATTGCTGCGCCTGGCAGCTGCTGTGCCCGTGATCCATGCCCGTCCCTGAGGCCCTGGGACCTCTGACTTCCTTCTCCCTTGCAGTCCATCCGGCGCCTGATGGAAGCAGAGAAGGTGAAGGGCTTTTGTCAGGTGGTGATCTCCTCTAACCTGCGGGATGGCATGTCCCACCTCATCCAGTCCAGCGGGCTGGGGGGGCTGCAGCACAACACAGTGCTGGTGGGCTGGCCCCGCAGCTGGCGCCAGAAGGAGGACCACCAGACCTGGAGGAACTTCATTGGTAGGCACCGTGGAGGGTGGGCACTGCCGGGCCTGGGGGCTGCAAGCTGCCCTGGCTGACGTGGCCCTTCCCCTCCCAGAGTTGGTGCGAGAGACCACAGCTGGGCACCTGGCCTTGCTGGTGGCCAAGAATGTTGCCATGTTTCCGGGCAACCAGGAGCGGTTCTCAGAGGGCCACATCGACGTCTGGTGGATTGTCCACGATGGGGGGATGCTGATGCTGCTGCCCTTCCTCCTGCGGCAGCACAAGGTAGGCTGGGCCCCGCAGCGCTGGGCCCTGCAGTGCAGGGCTGGGGCTGGGACTGGGGCTGTCCCTGTCGAGCCGTGCCCAAGCCTCCCCCATCCCTTGCAGGTGTGGCGTAAGTGCAAGATGCGCATCTTCACGGTGGCACAGATGGATGACAACAGCATCCAGATGAAGAAGGACCTGACCACGTTCCTGTACCACCTGCGCATCACCGCAGAGGTGGAGGTGGTGGAGATGGTGAGTACTGGGACAGGGCACATGCTGCAGTCAGGGATGCTGTGCATGGGAGCCAGACAGAGCCTGACATGGAGCACACAGCACCATGGGGGGACACAGCACCACGAGAACATACTGGGCCATGATGGGAGCAGGTAGTACAGCTAACCCTGCCCCAAATTTCTTCTGTTCTCCCCACAGCACGAGAGTGACATCTCTGCCTACACCTATGAGAAGACGCTGGTGATGGAGCAGCGTTCCCAGATCCTCAAACAAATGCACCTCACCAAGAATGAGCGGGAGCGGGAGGTGAGGCTGCAGAACAGGCTGGGTGGGCTCTGACCCCTGTGGTGGATCTGGTGTGAACCTAGCTGCCCTGCAGCTCTGTGTGCTCATCCTGATGGGCTTCAGGCTAGGCTCTGTCCAGCCAAGCCCTCTTGTGCCCAACTTCCTTGGCTGACCCCTCACTCACAGATCCAGAGCATCACGGATGAGTCCCGTGGTTCCATCCGGCGCAAGAACCCGGCCAACACACGCCTGCGCCTGAACGTCCCCGAGGAGCAGGCTGCTGACGGCGAGGAGAAGCCAGAGGAGGAGGTGAGGGGTTGTACCAAGACACGGTCAGGCAGGTAGCTAGCCTCAGGCCCTGCCCACCATTCCCCTCTTCCCTCTGCAGGTCCAACTAATCCATGACAAGAATGCCACCACCTTCTCCAGCAGCTCTCAGTCCCCTGGTGATGAGGTGGAGGCAGCCCCTGAGAAGGTGCATCTCACCTGGACCAAGGAGAAGTCCGTTGCTGAGAAGAACAAGAGCAAGAGCCCTGTCAGCCCTGAGGGCATCAAAGACTTCTTCAGCATGAAGCCGTACGGCCCCCCATGCTGCCACCTTGTCCCACCCATGCCCTGTGATCCTGGCTGTCCCTGCATCCCTGCCAGTGGGTGCAGGCAGGGCCTTGGCAGCACCAGCTTGATCCTTGCCCTGAGAAGTGGTCAGGCAGCCTGGGTGCTCTGAGTGCGCCCTTGCAGAGGGGCTGGGGGCAAGTGGGGAGGGGTGCCTGTGTAGAACTGTGCTGGCAAGGGAAGGGGTGCCCAGGCTGGGTGTGCTGCGGGGCGTGAGGGTGCCCACCTGGTGTTCACATTTCTCTCTCTCTCTCCCTCTCTCTCTCTCTCCGACCCCATCATGTTCCTGGCAGGGAGTGGGAGAACCTGTAAGTCTGGGTTTGGCTGGGTGCCGGGGCTGGGGTGGCGGGAGCTGGGTTGTGCTCATGGGGCAGCATGATGGGAGCCATCGGGGTTGCCCCTGTGCAGGAGGGCGGCTCAGTGAGCCGTGACAGCGGCGGTGCCAGACAGTTCACCCGGGCTGCACACGGCAGCTCTGGCTGCCAGCCCCGTGCACCGTGCCCTGCCCGCACCACACGCTCCTCATCTGCTCTGCTATGCTGCCGGCAGCTCCTTGCAAGCCTGGGCACAGGCACCCACGGTGACACTTGTGCCACCTGCTCACTCTCACGCAGCCTGGCCCCGAGCAGCTGTGGGTGCCACTGCCCATGGGCACCGTGCGTGGCCCTGCGGCTCATGGCACCGGTGCAGGCTCAGAGTCACCAGCGCAGTGCCTGGCACAGCTTGCTGCACCCCGAGTTTGTGCTGCAGCCCAGGCTGCACTGCCCGAGGGCAGGAGGCCAGTGTGCCCTGTGGCCCCTTGGGGCTGGTGTGGGCTGGAGGCTGGCTGTGCCTGTCCCGTGCCCACACGTGCTGTCGCCCACAGGAACCAGTCCGACGTGCGGAGGATGCACACGGCCGTGAGGCTCAATGAGGTGATTGTGAAGAAGTCCCACGATGCCAAGCTGGTCCTGCTGAACATGCCAGGGCCTCCCCGTAACCGGAAAGGGGATGAGAACTGTATCCTTCCTGTGGGGCCAGTCATCAAAACCCCTCTATGCCAGGGGGACCAGGGTCCATGTCTTCCCCAAAACTGGTGGGTCTTTTAGGCGAGTGCCAAGAGGCACAGGTCAGTTCCTGAGCTTGGACCCCCCACACCTCCTGCTCCTGGATGGGTCCAGCAGCTGTCATTGGCACCAGCCTGCCCCTCCAGCACGTGATGGGTGCTGGGACCACATGACATTGCACCTACACCCATGAGTGCAGTGGCACATGACAGGGGCCCAGGTAGAGGTCTGTGAGGCTCAGCCATCTGCTGGCTCAGTCACCATCCCCATGGCACAGCACCAGCACGGGTGGGCTTCCCTGGCTCCTTGCTTGGGACTGACCCCGCCAGCTCCTGGCTCTGGTGTGCAGGTGTCAGTGCTGCAGGCTCAGCTGGGGCTGGGCAGGGATGGCACAGGGCTGTCCCCATGTTCCCCAAGTGTGAAGATTGTCCTCCTTGACAGCTGTGCAGACATGGAGTTCCTGGAGGTGCTGACGGAGCATCTGGACAGAGTGCTCCTGGTGCGTGGTGGGGGCCGGGAGGTCATCACCATCTACTCCTGAAAGACGGCTCGCGAGAGGTTTGTCTGCACACTGAGAGCCCCGCCACCCCTTTGCACCGCGCTCCCGGAGGGGAGGAGGGAAGGCCGGATGGCAGCCGGTGCGCAGAACCTTCTCCTGGCTTTGGCCGTGCCCCTGATCTCTCCATTCGAACTGCAGCACCAGATCTTCCGGGAGCATCCAGCACCAGAGCAGCTGTTCCTCATTGCAACACCACAGCACTGCTGTCCTTGTTTATATATAAATATATACAGTGAACCGCGGACTGAGCACCAGAGCTCGGCGCTGCCGCCACCGCCCGCCCTGGCAGGGCCAGCCCCGCCGCCAGCCCCAGCACTGCCGCTGCAGCCCCTGCCGGGCAGGAGGGCGGCTGTGCCGAGACGGACCTTGGCCCCACCGTGCTGCTACTCCTGCACAGACTCGCGGGACGCGCCCGTGCCCTGTGCCCGCCGCCTGCGAGGGGCTGCGGGAAGAGCGAGGCCCGCAGCGCGCTCCCCAGGCCGGACGCGCCCTTCCCCGCCTGCAGCAGCGCCCGGGGCTGCCTCGCAGGGCGCTGCTCCCCCGCTGCCCCTCACCGACACGGGCCCGGACAGCCCCACCTCGCCGCTGCCTCGGCACCGTCGTCTCTGGAGACCGCGGGCTGAGCTTGTGGAGATGCAGCACGATGGTTTGGAGGAGGCAGAGGGTGGGGGGCGGCTGTGCGGGGTCAGGAGCTGCAGCACAGCAAGGCCGTGAGAGCAGGAGCCCTGACCTAGGGTGGCTGGGGGTGCTCCCTGTCCCCCTGCCTGACTCCAGGCTCTCTTCCCTGCCGCTGTCCAGGTGCTTGCGCAGGAGTCGCGGTGTGGAGCTGCGGTGTCGGGAGCCGCGCAGGGGCCCCGCTGTGTGCAGCGTGAGCCGGGGACCCCCGAGGCACCGGTGCCTGCTCTGGGCTGGCACAGGGGTGTCCCGGACCCCCGCCCTGCTCTCCCGCCGCACTAAACTGAGGGCTCTCGGGGCCCAGCACCCGCACATGTGTCTGGGTCCCCGCTGTGCCCCGCTGCACTCCCTGCTGCTCCCCAGGGCTTTGCTGCTAACCCAGCCCTGGCCGCGGCCCCAGGCAGTCGCAGATGCTGCCGGGGGCTGTAGGACAGTCTGGATCTGTGTGTATTTTTAACATATGCAAAGGCTGTTTGCTGATCTGACCAGCAAGACGTCACAATGAGGGGGAGGGCTGTAGGGGTCCCACTGTCCCATCTTGACACTCCCTCACCCGGCTGGCCAGGGCAGCCCCGGCACCAGCCCCGCCACAGCCGAGAGCCCCCCGGGGCAGATCAAACACCTCTTATCTTTGGCAGCAGCTGCAGGGTCGCCCTCGCCGCCGTCCCCCCCCCCCCCCCCCCCCCTTCCCCCCCGCCCCCCCTCCCCAGCATCTCTCACAGAAGAGAAACTGAGGCGCTTTTAACAAATGTGAACGGTTCCAGGAACCACGCAGGAAGCGGTGCGAGGGCAGCAGGGTGCCGCTGGCGCCCGCCCCAGCCCCATGTACATAGTGTACATAATACAGTACGTGTATTTTTAAAGTGATCATATTTATGTTAATAGAACCAGATGAAGTCTATATATAGAGATCTATATCTATTCTGAGAGATGCAGGGCTCTGCTAGCACCAGGCCGCAGGGACGGGGAGCTGAGCCGGGCTGCTCCTGCACAAACCAGGAGCCCATCCGTCTCACTGAGTGCTCCAGAGTGGTGGTGGAGGCTGAAGCCTTCCCCGGCCACCAGCAGCCCCTGGGAAAGGGCCAGGTCGCAGGTTTATTCTCTTCTCAATTTAGCTTCTTAAGAGTTTTCAGGGAAAAGAAGTCACAGACTTTTCTGAACTTGTTTCACAGCAGATTTGAGCTTCCACTCAAAGTGCAGCCTGCTAAGAGTTGCCCTCTCCCGGCAGCGCTGGTGGCTTTGTGCCAGCCTGGACCCTGGGGCAGCACTTTGTCCCTGGCCAGAGCTGAGCCCCTGTGCTGAAGCACTCACCCCCTCAGCCCCTCCAGACGCTCCCCAGTGCTGCTGTGCACTGAGCAGGGGCAGGGGGAGCGGGTGCTGCTACAGCATCCCCGCGGGTGTCCATCCAGGCAGCAGCTGCCTCCTGCCTGGCACAGGCAGCCCTGACTGCTCCCAGCTCCCTGCCCATCCGACCCCCTGCCAGCCTTGGCTCCTGCCTCCCTGAGAACAGGAAACCCCCCCTGCACCGGCCACTCCAGCCCCTGCTCCCTTTCAGAGCTCCTCTACTCCAGGTCCAGGCCAAAGCTATTTGGGGATGCTTGGATAAAAAGCAGTGGGTTTTTTGATGTTGGATTTTTTTTTTTTTTTTTTTGTAAGATACTACTTGGACACACTCCTAGACCAAAACCAAGCCCCAGCTGCACATCTGTGCCTGCTCATACCTTGCTCCTACATTTCCATCACTCCCGAAGTGCCTCCCTTCTCTCCCAGTCACAGGAGCAGTCCCAGTCACAGCCAGACTTTCTGCCAGGGTAGCTCGGCTCCTGTGTGGCTGCAGGTCTGTGTCACAGACACTGCTGTGGAAGCTGCTCCCACAGGCATGGGGAGCTCAGCATTTACAGGGGGACTGTCAGGCTGGGCTGAGACCTGGCTTCAGCACAGGAGCTCAGGGCTGACGAGTGGTGCAGATGCACAGGGTAGCACTTTCCGGTCCTGCTGCTGTCTCGGCAGCCCAGGAGCTGTGAGAAGAGCAGGTAGGGGTCTGCAAGTGAAAAGTTCCTTTAGTTTTGGGAAGGGCAGCCCATGGGAATCAGCATTTGCCAGTGTCTAGCTGCTCTACCCCTTGGAGCTGGCCCTATACCACCACACACAAGCTTGTGGGCTGTTTCCAGCCTCCCAAAATTATTTGAGGCACTTCAGCAGCAGCGGGGGAGGCACAGCAGCCTGCCCACACAGCTCATGTGTTAGCACCATGTTGTTGGGCCTCGAGCACTTGCCAGCTGCTCTGCCTCTTCACAAGATGCCACTCACTCCCTGCAGTTGCCCTCTAATTGCAGCTTGGCTTGCTGCTGGGCCTGGGGCAGCGAGCACGGTCCCCTCCTGCCCTGGCACATGGCACAGGGCAGAGGGCAGGGACAGGTTATGCACAGCCTCTGCTGAGCCTGCAGACAGCACCCACCCTCCCAGCCCCAGGTGAGAGGCTCCTCCATTGGCTGCAGGTACAGGGCAGCCAGGAATTTGCAGAGCAGTGGTGAGAGCAGCCAGGGCACACTTCTGACAGGTTTGCTTCATCCCCCCAGCATCACCAGTGGATCCCATTCCCCTCAGCATCACTTCCACCCTGACGGCAAAGCCACGGTCCCGGCTCCCCCAGGGAGCAGGAAGGCCATTCCTTTCCATCACTACTGCTGAAAAAAGGCATTCTCCTTCCCCTTCCTTCAGCAAGAGCAGGGGCACAGCTCTGGACAGTCAGGGCTGCTCCCACACCCCTGCCAGGCAGTTTGGCTGTGGCAAGACAGGAGCTGGTTTCCACAGCGTGTCCCCTCGCTGTCGGCTGGAGAGGGCCAGTTTTAGCAGACAGCACTGCATGTTAGTTTACAAACCCAGCCCTGCACGTTTGGCCTCTGTGAGTGTTCAGTTTCCCCATGGAGCACCCTTCTGCCGCTCCACCGTGGTGAAGACAGTGTCCTCCTCTGGTACACATGCAAGTTCCTCCTTGGCACATGCGCAGACACGGTCCGGTTTTTGTTCCAGACAGGAAGGTCTTGACCCCCCAGTTTGTTTTACAGGCAGGCTGCTGCTGGAGCAGCACTGAGCAGCACAACCCACGGGAGGGTGGGCTGGAGCGTGGCCACAGCTGGCAGGAGTGTTCGGCCAGCACACAGCGCTGGTGGCACGAGCTCCAGTCCCTGCTGCAAGAGGGCCAAGCAGTCCTGGCCCCTCAGAGGCAGTGGGCAGCTCAGGTCACTGTGGAGGGCAGCTCAGGTTGCTGTGGCCACCACACAACACAGGCAGCAAGCCACAGGGCAGCAGGGACAGGAGGCACAGGCAGCATCCAGCCTGGGCAGATGCTGGTCCGTGGCCAGACGAGAAGGACAAGAGACTGCACAAAGGCAAGAGTTGCACTAGAAGAGTCAAGACCCTCCTCTGTGTAGCAGGACTAAAAACTAGCAGAAAGACTGAAAGGTCTGAGATCTGCTGGTTACAACACTTTCTGTGCTACATGTGCAATATATTTGTTATGAATGTTATCACAAAGTCGGTTCATTCAATACTCTTTTAATCACTGTAGCTAGATGTTCTCTGTCCATTCAAGTGACTTTTATTCGAGTGCAATATTTCAATAGACATGTAGTGACCTAGAATGCTTTGTGTTTTAGAGAATCTGTGTGCAGAGCAATGCAATTAAGTTTAAAACCTTGTAAATAAAACAGGTTGCAAACCAAAAAAAAAACAAACCCCAATAGGCTTGCATTTAATTTCTGTGTGTGTTTCAGTGTTGTGCATTAGGCCGCCTCGGTGCAGACCCCATGTTCTCTGTGCAGGTGTTCATGGAGGAGTGGCTCCTCAGCTGTTGAATGCTCCCTGTTACTGCTTTACTGCTTTACCTGTATTCATTTTTCTAGACTCCTGTCTGCACAAAATGCAATAAATGATTTTATTACACCCTTCACTACTTGCACGGAAACTTTTCACTTGCTTCCAGGTCTCCACGCTATTTTGCACCGTTTCAATAACATGGAGCAAGCCCTGACAGGGTGCAGATTGCAGAGGAAGCAAAGCATAAGGAGAGGAACAGCCTCTCCAAAGGGATGCAGTTCCCACATTTCACCTCACAAAGATTTCAGGTCCCCCCACCAGATGATCTACCTGGCTGCAGGATTGTAGAGAAAGGGACCTAACAGGAGGAGAGACAGCAGACAGACAGACACACTGCTGTCCAGACTCAGCCTGTGGGGTGATGTAGCACGAAGCCATGGGACACCAGTGCTGAAAGCACAGGGACTGGCAGCCCTGACCTCACGCTGGCTTGTGGCACTGACCTGGACCTGTCCCTCCCACCACTTGTCACCAGAGAGGTTCTGGACTCCTCACACTGGCTGTGCCACACCACATCTGCCTGAGGCCACCCCAGTGCTGTGCAAGAGTCAGGACCTGTGAGGTCCACACACATTCTGCTCAGCATCCAGTGTGAAGCTTCCACACAGCTTAAGTGGGAGAGGAGAGTAATAGCAAACAGTGAAAGATGTATTCTGAGAGTACTCAAGTGTCAAAAAATGCAACAAGAAACTTTTCTGACTTTTATTAGAAAGTAATGTCCTTTTGTTAACAGCACAGAGATAAAAGAAATGCTACAACACAAACCACCTGGGACAAAGAAAATCCTCTGCTTCAATCCACTGCTTTCTTAGTATCTCACAGTTCCCTGCAGGAAGTCCACAGACTGCAAGAAGGCCATGATGGGGAAGGACCACACAGCTAAGTGATGTTTTGTGTTCTGGTATCAAAGTATGTTCCCAGTAAAAACACCGTGAGGAATCACTGCCTGATTTACCACTGCACTGTCTGCTGCAGCCACCAAAGTGTTGAAAAAACGTTTAAAATTATGGTATTAACATCTTGGCATTGCCTCTCCTCCTCAGATGGACCAAACATCCATCAATAGCAACAGGTCTGATGGAGCAGCACTGCCCCCAATAGCTGGTGACAGGCGTTCCCAGGGAGAGCCAGCAGCTCATCAGTGTGGCTGCAGCTAACAACGTGCCAAACACTGTAAGAAAAGGAAATTTACACATCAAATTTGCCAGGTTGATCTTAACACTGATTACTCACTGTAGGAAAATTGACAGACCGTTTGAAATCTCTGCCTTGGCTGGAAGTTCTTGTGTTGCAGATGTGTGCTCAGCCCACAGCTGCCAGTCTCTGTGAGTGGTCAGGAACACCGGCCTCTCTGCCTGGACAAGGCAGGCCAGCTGTGGACAGACTGCACAGTCCTGGTTACTGAGCAGTGGTCAGGCATGTGCTTCATGATTTTGGCTGCCAGCACTATCACTGGACTTTCCAAATGGCTTATATGCTATTTAAACAAAAAACAAAAACAAAAACAAACAAACAAAAAAAAAACCGCACAAAAAAAAAAAAAAGAAAAAAAGAAAAAAAGAAATCCAAAGAAAATAGTGCCCATTCCACACTGGTGGGTGTCCAAGGCTCGTCAGTTTGCTGCTCTGTTCAGTCCCCTAATTCATCAAAACTGATGATCCAAAACTACACTGAGACCAATCAGTGAGCCCAGACTGCACCTCAATGGGAAGGTGCACCAGGTGCTGGGAGTAAGGAAAATGCAGTAGGACTGATGCTGCGGCAGCTTCTGGGATGGGACAAGACAACCAATGATCCAACACAGTTCAGCACATCGTGCCTTGGAGAAAACTGAGCATTCTGCTCCAAACATTGCTAATCAGACCAAGGAGAGGGAGGGCAGCGCCAGCAACCGTTGGCAGCAATGCTGCAGGGGGTATGCTCTCGCCAGAGTGGAGAGGACATGCATGTCCAGGGCATCTGTCCCCGGTCAAGGATGGGAGAATTCTTTAACAGCTATAAGTATGGAATGGCAAAGGGAAGGGGAATGGGTCCAACAGCTGAGCTCTAATAGTGTCGCTGGTAGGCACCCATCGGTTGCTGGGCTGAGGACCCCGCTCGCCCCTGGGCCACGGTTTGGCTCACAAGGTGGGAGAGTGCAGGACCACTCTGGATAAGGGTGTCCAAGGCTTTCTGTACACTGGGGTTGTCAAAGTTGATACCAGAAGACACCGGCCTTTGGGCGGGCACATTGCCAGGCGCAGGGAGGCGGGTTTGGTGCTGACCATAGAGCGGCTGAGGCTGTGGAGGAGCTCCAGGTCTCGGACCTGCGTTTCTCGAAGGGCCCGGGAGAGTAGGAAGCTGCGTGTTTGGAGTCTGCAATCTCTGCTGAGCCTGGTTTAAATTTCCAGCATTGATTTGTGCTGGCCGGGGCTGCCCGCTGGCCAGGTTAGCAAAGTTCTGGTTGGGAGTGCTGCCCGCAGAGCCCGCGGAGGCCGCAGGACCGCTGTTTGCCACAGCAGCTGCCGCCGCCGCCGCCCCGCTGTTGAAGAGACTGAGGATTTTTGCTTGAAGCTCCTGCTGAGGAGTAGAAGAGGACACTGGAACAGAAGGAGTAGAGACCAGAGGCTGTGAACTCTGATGAGCCTGAGAACTTGGAAGGTTGGACTGACTACCCAGTGATGATCCTGAAGGTGCCCCCAAAGATTGTCTTGACATGGGTGCTGGGAAAGAAAGGAAAGGTGGTTAAAGCTCTGCAAATGCTCTTGAAGGGACACCTAAAGAAAACTAATGAAACAGCTACGAAAGACACGGCATCAGTAAACATCCACCCTCAGATCACAGCTGCACAGCTCTGGGAACCCAAACCACTCTAGAGAACTGAGCGTAGCAGCCCAACCAGTTATGGCAGTCCTGCTGCTGCCCTAAGAGAATCCAGCATAAAAGGTCTTCCACATGAATATTCTAAATTGTCTCATGGCATGCAACAACACATCCATCTCAGTAAAATGAGGTACTACATGAGGATATTATGCTCCCAAACTCCTCTGCAGTCCCAGGACTCTTTTCCTGTCCCAGCCCTGAGGACCACAAACCACGCAGGAAAATCTGTCTGGGGCTGTGGGACTTACCCTGCAGAGATTCAGTGCTGCCCCGCAGCAACCGTTCCTTCCGGTCTCTCAGGTAATTAATGACTTTATCTATCTCCTCAGCAGTCACATAGCGATTGTCTGCCAGCAGGTTCAAGAGAGTTTGGATCCCGGGAGGGTGACCTCCTCTGACACCCTCCTCCATGGGGGGTGGGCGCTCCCGCTCCTGCAGAATAGCTTCGTCTGCCATCTTGGCAGCCTGCCGGGCGATCTCCTCCCGCTCCTTCTCCCGGGACTCTGTCTTGTAGCGCTCGTAATTCCTTGCCACCAGCACCATGGCATCAGCCTGGGGCATGTTGCGGTGCTCTGCACAAAGGAAGAAATGCTCTGAGTGACCCAAAGTGACTCTGGTGGAGGTGCTGTTCATGTGCCTGCCAGCACAGCCCAGTCAGCAGCAGGCACTGCTCAGGGAGTGTGAGTGCAGACTTGGGAACTTCCCAGGCACACGGGAACAATTACATTTTCAAAGCCAACAGAAGGCCCACAGCTATCAGCCAGCAAGGCCAGCCTTTCCTTCCACAGCTGAGGGCTCAGCCCAGAAATGTCCTTCTTGTCTCTCACCAGTTAAAAGGAAAGCAGCTCCCTCTGCCTCTCACATAAACCCTCAGTTCTCCGAGATGAGATGGTCCCAGTCATTTTACTGCTAAACCCTGGGACAGATCCAAAACTTGCCCTCTGAAGGCTGTATGCTTCCCAGAGGAGGACAGCCATGGGAATACGTTTGTTTCTGTGCTGCCAGTGCCTTAACATCTCATGTGCCCATGCAGCTGGGGAGGGAGCTGCACTGGCTCAGTGTCACATGGCTGCCCACATTCACCACTCTTGAGGCAACAAGCAGCAATCAAAATTCTTCTGTAATAAAGTGAGTAATGGGCAATTTCAATGGTGGGTTTTGAGGTCATTATTTCCAACTCCCACATGAACAGTCACCTAAACACAGAGTTAATCTGGGAGATCAAAAGAGCCTTTACCTTCCCAAAAGTACCCAAAGCTTTGGGCAGGATCATTTTAACACCTGCAGAACATCAAATCCTGCAAGCCTTTTCCTCCTAACAGAAAACTTGTGTTCATTTGAACATTAGGCTTTGCACAAACTGTGAAAGAGTTCCCTGAAACAAACATGCATGCAAAGGTGGCCAGGAGCAGTTGAAGGGACGATCTCTAATCTCTGGAATGACCTGTGGATGAGCTTATGACTGGGGCTCCCATCTCGTCTGATACACCAGCAGATCCAGTGAAGAAAAGAAGCTTTGGCCTCCTGCCAAAGGTTTAACAGGAGTTAAACCAAAGAAGTTGAGAAATAAACCCAAGGGTAGCGGGAAGCCCAGTGACAGTGTGTGTGAGCTGTGTGTCTGCAGGAAATGAGGGAGCTCTCCTATCACATCTGCATCTGATGTCAAAAGCGACTGGGCTTCTCCAGTCAGTGAGCACACACCAAGCACTGACTGTGCACTCAGAGGTTTCCTCTCCCAGATGAACTCACAGAACATTACTTGGGAACACAGTGAAGGAGAAATAACCTTTGAAAGCTCAGCTGTGGTCAAACCAGTCACCTGTGTTGACAGATTTCATGAACATTACATGTTGCTATGATCAGAGCAACAGCTACTTTCCCTAATCACATTTTGACAAGGCATTTTTAGTACCTACACCCACCCTCATGCAACAACCAAGTCACACCTTGTGATGGAAAGTGATGTGACAAGTGTAAAGATGCTAAGAAGGTGGAGCCTGTATACCCAAACACTTTGTAGATCTATCTTTTCATAACACTTTGTAGTTTTATCTTTTTATAACTCTTCCCAGTTTAATTATCAAATCTCTACCATTACCACATCCTTATTAAATCACATTTGATTTTAAAATCTGTCCTTTAATTTGCCGCATTCCCAACATGCTCTTTCTGAGAGCAACAAGTGGTAGAGTGAGGTTGGGCTGGTATTACTCATAGATCTCCCAGAGCAGTGCAGCTCTGGGGTCCATGACTTGCCCCAACACAGCAAAGGCTGGCAGTGTTAGGAGCCAAGAACACAGGTGAGATTCCCTCTTGGCAGGAATTAGACATTCCTTTTGACAAGGGGCAAACAGGGTATTATGGAAGCTTTTAAATAATGATATTCACATTTATGACATGGTGTCAACTCATTTATGACTACTTATGTGACAGCAAGGATGCACTTTGCTCTATGTGGTTCTGCCTGAAAGAAAGATTCAGTGTGACCACACAATTCCCAGCCTACTGAGACCTTAGTACCTTGTGGCGTGCCAAACATGATGTTAACAGTGCAAGAACGGTGAACTTGATGCTGCTGGGTGATGACAATGGCGAAAGGAGACCCTCCCCTGCTCACATCATCCAGGGCTTGTGTCAGTGACATCTCTGTGTTGAGGAAGATCAGGTCCACCACCATGCCCAGGTCCCGCACCTTCCGCCCCACGGACTCTGCGTACTCCCTACCACAAAGCAAAGCCAGCATTTAGCAAATCAGTCACACACAGACAGAAACCTTGGCACTGCACCCTCTCCACCATCCCAGATTCGCTATTCTGATTACTTGCCCAGCTTCATGACGTTTACCAGGACAGTAATAAAGCAATCCCATTATAGCAATATAAAAGCCCTTATTCTGATCTGAATCAGTCATTTCAGTTCAACCAAAATAAATTACAAATCAAGCCTTAGCTGAGCTGAGAAACAGAGTGTTGCAAAGGGATTTACACTATTACAAATTTGTTTACACATAAATGTGTTTCAACTGAATTCATTAGGGGAAGGAATTTCCACCAGCAGAGGTCCAAGGGGTACAGAGCAGAGGAGGCAACCTACAGAACTCATTTACTCCTGCTTTGTTCAGTATCTCAGCTGTTCACATGTGCCTCATTCCTTATTGGCCTTCTCTTTTCTACTAGCTGCTTTCTGCCCTAACCCACTGCCAAAACAGCATCTCTGGATCCACTGCTCCCGTATACCCTGTCCTACAGACTTCCCCATTGAGGCACAAAACACAGCTCACAAGGCTGAGCTTGAATTGCCAGGGCTTTTTTTTAAGCCTACTTTACTTAGAACCAAACCTGCAATACTGACTGCACAAAAAGTCTGACAAATTCACTCTGTGTGCACCCACACTTCAAGAAAGAGGGTAATTTTATTGTCTTTGGAGGTGAAGTCTGTAATGGTGATTAAAACTGTCTCCCCTTCAACCATCTTTTTAAGAGCTTTGAAGTCAAATTACTGTATCTAAGGCATTCAGGAGTCATCTTTCAACAGGTCTATAGCAGGTAACATCAGTACTATATATATATATATATACAGTACAGCTTCAATACAAGATTTATTAACAGCTCCAGCTCTTAAGGTTTGTAGCCATTACAGACCAAAATGATTAAATGATTCTTGGGATACTAAGCTGACCCTCTGGCACAAAAAAAAAAAAAATATTCTTGGGTCAAGTACAATAACTTGTGGTCTATTAGAATATCTTCCAAAGGATTTTAGCCACCAGGGGATAAAGGATCTAAAATTTCCTCTCAAGATTTGTTCCAATAGGTAATAAACTCCATCAGAAGTTTATTTCTAGTTTCACTGCTTCTCCTGTTTCCACTTCCTGCTCCATTTTCTACCAGCAGATAAGGCAAGTGCCAGCTGTCTCTTTCTGCCCCACATGTACAGCAAAGTTAAAGAAAAGCAACTTTTGATCTTTTCTCTGAGGGGTGAAGGAGACAGAACTTTAACTTTCCCCCAGCAAACATTTTTCTCAGATTACAAGCCAGGTCTGTGATTTATTTACATATTTACTATTCTTTAGTATATTTAATTGTAAAGATACAGACATGAGACTGGTGACATTGTTAAAGCACTCTACTACTGTACCAGGTGTACCTCCTGTTCCCAACAGAGTGCCTGCCCTGTGAACTCAGGAAGTGCTCAGCCAGCCATAGGAGATCACCCTGGTTACTGTTTATACCTGCTTTTGATACCATCCCTGACTACCTTTGGCAGTGATTTTGTGTTTCTTGCACATTGGAATAATGGCAATGACTGGTGTCTGCCCTAGGAACCAATCCAGCAGGAGCTCTGAACTAACACCCCCAATCCACACTGACCCCTGCTCCGTACTGTCACCTGGCTGGCACATATTCCTAAGTTCCATATCATGCTACCCATGAAAAACAAGTACAGGCCCCTACAACCTGTTGAAATGGTAGACTTATATGAAGAGTAGGTATAAAAGTATCAGAAGGTACTGCAATAGATTACAACGGGGAAATACAAGCAAAGCAAAAGATACATTTCCTCATCTCATCAGCATATATTCCCAGAAGAAAAACGGGAGCTGTAGCTGCCTGGGGACTCTAAACCCACAGTCCTCAAGAGCAGTCTCTAAGACAAACAGCCTCAAGGCAGGACCAAGTTTAAATCCATTCTCTTCTACCATGCAATAATAAAACCGATTATAACTATTCTCTTACTTTGTCTGTTTATTCACCACTATCACAGAACAATCCACGGGTCTCTCTGCATCAAAACGCCTCTTGATTTCCTCATAGTACTGACGGTACAGCTCCTCCCGGCGCCGCTCCTCGCGCTTCAGGCGGTCTGAAACAAGCCACAGGGACAGGACGAGTGACACCCTTCAGACCTGCTCAGAGGGGCACAGAGCAGCACAACTGTGGCACCGTGGCACCCCTCCTTTGAAGTGGTGCAGGTACTCACCCTCTGGCTCCTTGTAGCGGTCGTAGTAGGAGTCGTCCTTGCGCCGGTAGTAGTCGTCAAGGCGCAGGTAACGGTCATAAGATTCATCTCGTCTGCAACATTCAGAAGCAGCAATGGTTTCCTGCAGCACCATCTCAGGCAGCGACTTTGGCCAAAGCATCACACCCAGACCTCCCCCAAGTTTAATTTCTGAGGTACCCACCTGCTCCTCACAAGACTAAGATCAGCACTCAACTGTCCCCAGCCAAGGGTGATTCCCTTAAACACCTGACACCACTCAAACAATTGCGTTAGAAATGCCATAAAAACATTACTTTGGCAAATAGGATCTTGGAGAGTTTACCTGTACAAAGGGTCCCGAGGGTCTCTCATATCCCGTGGATCCCTCACATCTCGTGCACTTCTCATATCCCGTGGATCCCTGTATCGATCATACAGTGGCTCCCGTGGGTCCCGTGGGTCACGAAGATCTCTAACATCACGTGGGTCCCTCAAGTCCCTTGGATCCCTGATATCCCGTGGGTCTCGCAGGTCCCGTGGGTCCCTGTGGTCTCTGGCATCACGCATGTCTCTAGCTCGAATGTCTCGAGCATCTCTAGCATCTCGCCCGTTCCTGCCATCCCTGCCATCTCGGGGGTCTCTCCGTGGGCTCCCCCGAAGAGGGGAGCGGTCGCGCCTGGCATCTCGGCCATCCCCGTAGGCATATTGCTCTCTGAGGAAAACACCAGGGAAATTCCATTAGCCTGCTAACAGTACGAGTACAGTCACCCTTACATCTCTTACCTGAGGTGCCAAAGTCACCTTTCATAGCAGTTGAATCCTCCCTCTTACCCCACAACAACAAACATTGACCAAAAGTCATATTTTGAAGCAGTCTGGAGAAGGTTCTCAATTCTAATACTCAGCACAGCCAAACAAGACCCAGAAAGCTCCTTAATGGAGCACTAAGTGTAGAGCACCTGTGGGTGAAGTGAATAGGCACTTCAGAAACCACCATTTTAAGGTCTCTGATCTCCAGCATCAGCCACAGATGATCTATCAATCGTGTTTGGCAAATTCTTTGACAGAATTTAAGGTGACGTAGGCCAATACCCACATATATGCAATAGCCAGGAGTGTTCAAGGGATCCATTAAATTTGCTTGTCAATGACAGCAGAACACCTGAAGTAACGTTATTGGCATATGATTAAAAAAGGAGCAGCTTGTGAGGAAAGATATTGCAGGTTCCACGTTGCAGTTGGGTTTGTGCAGCTGACAGAAAGCAAAGACAGCTATGGCCTTCTCCTGGATTTGAGGGACAGTTTCTGTAGAAAGCCAGCCTTATGCTTATAATGCCCTGGTTAAAAGGATACTAAACCCAACCAGCACTGCATCCTCAGTGGCCAAAAAAGGCTTCTCTGTTGGATCTGAATGATCCATCTCATTCAGACTTTATACTGCAGTCTTCAGAGGCAAGGAAGAATAATGTTGCAGTCTTCATCTTTTCCCATAGCAATAGGATTTTTCCAGGTTGTATTCTGTTTTCCAGAGAAGACTATAACTTCACTGCAGTCAAAACAAAGCATTTAAAAAAAAATCTTGCAGAGAAACGTTGGAGCTTCATGTGTTTGGACTGTTTTTTCCCCCCAAATAGTGACAACCATCAGGAAAAAAACCCCAGCTTTTTGAATCTTTATTTCCCATACTTGACATGACTTTTACAGTCCTCAAACAGCCTAATCTAGTTTATGAAAGATAAGCAGAACCATAAGTCTGCATCCACTGCAGTGCAGTCACATAGAGATCACCTGGAGAGAACGAGTCAGATGAGCCCAAGTTTGGTGTCAGGCAGAGTGACAGGAATGAGATGGAAGAGCAGTCTGTGCATGGATTTTGGTGTCAGACACCCAGCTGTGCTGGGAACACATAAGAGTGCTGGCGTTCTCTGTTTGCATGTCAGATACAAATCAGATTTTGGGACAAAATAGAGATGCCACGAAGAGCACACATAGCCTCATCCTCTAAGTGACATAATGAATTTGCAGACAGCCACGTGTAAACTCCTTCAGCTTCTTGGACATATAAATCCACTTTTTGTTTGTGATCTGCATTGAAACCACATCCTGTGAGAGACACATCATAGCCCCCTTCCCGCAAAACCTACAATGAATGATGGCGGAAGCTCAGGGGAATCTCCTGACTTGCTCTAATGGATACTGAGTAACTGATCTTTCCATAGCTGTGAGACCATTTAGCAAAACAACCAGATGCAGGGGAATTGTTTGGCATATGACATTTATTCCAGCTGGAGTGGAGGTGACCAGAACAGGCCACATTCATTATCCGCAGAGACAAATAGATCCGGAATGAACAACGCACAACTGCGACAGAAGTAGAGATGTGGTACAGGTACCCTCAGCTCTTGTGCCCACATGGCTGCCCTGCTCGAGGGAGACAGAAGCACAAAGGCACAGCTCCCACACCTCAGTCACCATGGTCTGGCTCCTGAAGCATCAGCACACCGCCTGCATCTGCTTGGGACTTGGCCCTGCTGGCTCAGCACCGTGTGTGTGGCGCAGCGCGGGGCTCTGCAGCGCTGGCAGCGGCAGCTGCTGTTCCCAGGCCACAGCGTGGTCCAGAGTCCACTGATCACAGCCACACCCAGGACTTGATGACTGTGACCCCCAATGCCACATGCGCCCACAGTGCTGCTTGGGACCTGGTGCTAACCACATGTGACGGCCATGGTGTAGTGCCAGCTGAAATCCAGTGCATGTCACAGTGGCACCAAAGCCTCTGGCTGCTGTTCAGTCATGTCCAGTGCTCCTTAGGACTGCAGCACAGGCACCTGCTCTTGTACACATGCAGGATGACATAGTTTGAAATGCCCATGGCATCAGTGCCTGTGCTTGTCCCTCTGCAGTGCAGTCCAAGGATCAATGCTCATGGTACAGACGCCTGCCCCTCACCCCTGCAGTGCTGCAGCACAGGTGGCACTGAGGCCAAAGATGAGCCATCAGTGCCTGCTGCTCACATACGCCCAGGGTCCTACCATCAGCACCGAGCACACCCCAGGCCAAAGACTTGCTGCATCTGCCACAGGAATCCCAGCACCTCTTGGGCCTGATGCCCACATGCTGGTCTCTGCAAGCACATTTGGCCCTATGTAGGATTAAGTGCAGTGCATAAAAATCCTAGATGGTGCCAAGAATTGCAGCTACTCATTCTCTGCCGTTTTTTTTTTTTTTTTAAATGGTGTAGATATCTTGCTAGTTGCACTTTTCCCTCATTTTTGGTAATTTAACAGTTCAAGCTAGTAAAGCACACTGGACGTGGCACCTCAATTACCTTCAAGTCCAACAAGTCCCATGCTTTTTCATGGGAGGCTTTACAGCAGAGGCACACAGGCTGGATACCTCGTACCAAACAACACTGCAGCATGTCTTTGTGCGCTTCCTAGTGATGCTGTGAAAAGGAAACTGAAGTCATCTTCCTGTGACAGGCCATATCTTTTCCCCCTGCCTGTGGCTGCCTACACAAAGGAGGTGAAAGAGGTGAAGGTGCTGTGCCCACCGCAGGGTGGGAAGCCAGGAGAAGCTGGAGAATACAATGGTGACTGCACAGGGGGGCTGGCTCCAGGCTCTGATAACACAACCACATGGGCAGACAGGACCGTGCAAGAGACATTTGCTCTGTCTTGTGTTTTGCTCAAGCGCTCTTTTCCAGTCTCGTGGCAGCATTGGAAGCTTTCAGCATCAGAAGAGGCAAGATCCCAAGATCCTCTGCACTAGAAACACTGCAGCCCCTTGGCATTCTCTAGATATGTCTTGGCTTCTCTGATCCTTGGAGGCAGGAGCAAACATCAAGTGTATTCTTCCTCCCAAGTCTCTTACAGCCTGTGCTGCAAAACTGAATGCTGGGTTGCAGTAATGGCAGCAGACACAAGGTTTCCCTCGTGCCTCCCAAGGTGCCCAAGCCTAAAGGGCTCTCAGAGGTGGAGCAGACACTTTCCTGCTGGAGCATCACTGTTTGACTGGGGAGGTGGCAGTAGGGAAGAGACACAGACATTTAGCACAGGCCGCTGGGCTCATGCCCCAAAGGCCTGAACTCCTAGTATAACTCACTGCTTCCAGGTACTTTACCTTCGTGTGGGACTGGACCTTGATGAAGCCTTATTCATATTTCTTCTTTCCACTGCTTTATTAATATCTGTAAAGAATAATCAACCCATCTGTTCAATGCTATGAAACAAAAAAAAGATCATCAGCACAATTCAAATGAAAGCAACTTAAGCTCAACAACATCCAGATGGTGCAAGGAAATCCATTCAGCAGAGAGACATTGTCACTTTGACAATTTTTTATTAAGTTTAGAGAGTACAACATAATGAAAATTTCATGGATTTCTTTGACTTCAAAATAGAGTGGACAGCTTGGGTGAAGTTTTAACCCTGCATGTTCAGGCCTACATCCAGACTCTTCCTTCCATAAGAGAACCTCTTTCTTCTGCAGTCTATGAGCGAGCAGAAAGCGACTCATGGACTCTAGGAGAAAAAGCAGAGTCTGAAAACCTCCGAGAAAGGAATGATGGCCAGCACAGTCTTAAGTTCACAGCCAGTCCTGTTCAACGGAGCATGCCGATACCCTTGTTGGGAATAATCCAAGGGTTCTCAAAGGGGCATGTGCAACTGCCTTCCAAGAGACTGCTGCAGTGTTAAGGTGCACGGCCCCCAGCACTGAGAAACGGATCCAGGAGCCTGGAACACAGGCTCCTTAGGAAGTCAACATGGTGCATTCAAAACACCATTGTTAACGTGATGCAGACTAAGGCAACAGATCAGAAATTTGAAAACTGGTTGGCTTCTGAGAATCTCTGTGAAAAACACCATGAAGGGAAACACAAAGAAGGAAGAGAGCTGAAGAAACAGAATCTTGTCCTCAACCCACAAAAGTGAAGTTGCCCAGAACTGGCAGGGACCCACACTGTTCTCAAAGCCTCCCGTGACAGCTGAGATGAAATAATGCACTGGAGGGGGGCAAGAGCAAACAGCAATGTGACTTTGGACATTTTACTGAGAACCTTTTAAGGAAACAACCCAAATCTAGGCCCTATCTGCTCCCCCAGAATCCACCAACAATTAACATTTCTGATGAGTTATTTGCATTATCCACTTTCAAAGCCCTTGCATGAGAACATAAACATGTTGTGATGTCTTTAGGCAGACTCAGCCTTAATATCTTCTGTAACATCCCAAACTATCCTTTATTATTTTCAAGATTAAAACTGTAATTAAGGGATCAGGTATAATTTTTATTCTTGATGTCAATCAAGCAGCATGTTGCCTCTCAGATGGGGCAGAGAAGCAAGTGCAATCTGAACATTAACTACAACTGCAGCATTACACCACTCACAGGACCCCAAAGCACCTCCCCAGGACCAAATTCAGCTGCAGGGTCTACTGTTACAAACTACATCGGAAGGACATTTACTCTCCAAGTAATTTTAGTAAAGATATGAAAACACTACTGTGCATTTGTGGAAATACTTTGTATAATGCTACAGTGGAGTTAAACTCTCCCAAAACTTTTTACCTTACTGTTATTAATGATTGTATTTAGTACTCAGACTGCATAACTGAAGTAACTGCATTCATTTTTTAGTTGATAATTTTGCCCCTTAAAGTCAAGTGTTATCTTTAAGCAAGACACTAGCTGCTTTCTTTGGTTTAAGATTATTTTTATTTTCTGTTTTAAGATGCCATTGAAGAAACCTATTATGATTTTACACTTGGTATCATACATTTCTTTCAAATAAAAAAAAGTATTTAGATCTCCACAAAAATATTTTACTAGAAGAAAAAAAAAACTTTGACAGGGATCCTTCTCTTGTGCAAAACAAACACACTTAGTAACATTTTATTTAATGCCAACAGCATTTACAAGTTAAGTATTTGAACACTGACAAAACTTCGGGAAAAAAAAGCCCAAACAAAAAGTCTTCTGTCCTGTAGGATTTTGAGATGACAGGGCCACTGTAATCACACAGTGTAAGCTTCTGAACAAACACAGGTGACAGGAGTTTCTGGAATCCATCTATCTTAAGTGCAGCAGTGGCACTGAACTAGTGCTTAACTTTTAGCAAAGCATCTAATTCCAATTTAAAAGTCTTCAGAGCACAGAAACCACCACATATCAAATAAATTACTCCAGAAGCCAATTACTCTGCTGTTAGAGAAAAGTCTTTATTCACATTTAAGGCACTGTCACACTTATGCCTACTACACTAAAACTTCCTGATGCCCAGGTTTTTCTGTAACACAGAGATCACATCACTCCTTTCTCTTGAGATTTTTCCTTGGGTTTGTTCTTGAATTCTAAACCTGTCAGGTTTTTTCAAGGCTTTTCCAATTCAGCATTATCCTTTTTGAACCAGGCATACCAAAACTGAGCACTCTTCCAGCAGCAAAATCCCACAGGTACCAAAACCTCCCTACTTGCACACCTGTGTTTTGCACAGCCAAGGATGACCAAAGCACTCTGGCTGGGTGCAGACCTTCCCTGTTAGCTTCACTTAAAGCTCAGGTCTGTCTGCATCCAGGATAGGAAGTCCAGGTCCTTTCACCATCAGTGACTCAATCGTCTTTATTTCATCCTTTTTTTAAAACATGTTTTTCTCTCCAAGTCACTTATAAAAGCCCTGTATGGCTGGGACTCAGTTTTTCTAGACCACCACTCAAAGCACTGAGAAATTCCATCACGTTACACCTATTCCATTCTAGATTCACTTGAAATCCATTTAACTCTGTTGTTTTTAACTGCACTTGTTTCTTATCAAGTCAAACACCTTACAGCAATCTGTACACTAACACTGCTGCTTCCAGCCCTAGAGCCTGCAGTACCATAAGAGTAACTAAGACAGGATTAATTTTGATGGACACGAATCAATTGCCTTCTCATCAGTGTCAGGTGAAAGAATCCCTTTGTTCCCAGGCTCTGATGCCAGGCTCATTCCATTTACCCTGCCTATTGGCTCACCTGCAGCACTCCACCAGCTCCCTGGAAACTCCCTAGTTTTCCAAGGCTTGTGGAAAAACACCAGTAACAGACTAGGCAGGTCAGTAGTTCACTGAGCCTCACTGACGTTAATTCTTTTGAGAGCTCTAGATTTGGTAGCTGCCGTTTTACCTTTTTGGTTTTTCTACTGAAATGGAAATTACATTAAACACATCTCCTGCCTCTTCAAAAACAAACAGCAGAAACACTAACTGGTCTTCTCAGTTAGAAATTTTATCATTGCCAGTCAGTAACCCTTAGCTTCTAAACCAGCCAAAGTTGCTCCTGTTTAAGCCTCTACACTTGGACAATGCTGGACACCATTTCTTGTATCGTTCTACCCTTCTTGTCTATTTGCCTTCATTTCCATCTTCAGGCTCCTATTTGTTACTGCACATACACCTTCCCACAGGTTACTATTTATTCCTCCTGTCATTCTTTTTAAAGTCACACTGTTTTTCTTCAAATTATCATAGGCTTACTTTGAAAGTAATTTTTTTCTTGCATTTAAAAGATTACTCGTGGATTTCTAACCATTCATGGCCATTTAAGTCTGCTCCCAGCACATTTAGCAGAATTATCTTCATCTTTATGAAAATATCCTTTTTAAAGCACCCAGTATTTATAGCACTGCTTAAAGGCTGGCTCCACTTGTGCAAAAATCCCAGCTAAGTTTACTTAGCCAACCAGCCACTAAGCACTGTGACCAATTCCTTTGAGCATGTCAAGATGAAGCCCAGTTTTGGTTTACAAATGTTATTAAACCCTGCGCTGGACGTTCAGTGATCCCTTTCCAGGGCTCACTTGCTGCACAGTTTCTTCTCTGTTCTTAAGGCTAACAGAGCTTTCCAAATAGTAACACATAAAAATTCAGGGTAAGATGCAGGCAGCAAGGTGAGCCACACTGCAGGTGAAGCACACAGCAGGAACTCAAGGAGGCAAACACATTCTGTTTAAATTGATTGAGACTAAGGCCAGACAAGTGTCACACTGTGACCTTTGAGGAGGGCTTTAAAACAACAGCACCCTTTCTCCCGAACGCATGCTGGGGTCAGGAGAGCGAGGAGCATTTTCCTTACCTAATCTATACCCTTTATAAAGGCGACCCTTCTCACCGTCCAGAGCGGCCTGGACATCTTCTAGACGGTCATACTGCACGAACCCATAGCCATGGTACATGCTGAGGGCTGCAAGAGTTAACAGCAGGGCAAGACCGGTTACAACCGCGGACAGTGCTGACCCACACCCGGCCATCGCTAACCCCACCAGCTGCACTCTACCCAGAAACCACTACGCAAGCTTCCTGGGAAAATCAAATCCACCAGGATCAAAGTGCAGAGCTCAAAGACTCTGATCAAGTTCCTTCTGACAAGGCAGTGACCAAAATTCAGCCTGTGAAGTGACCAAGATTTGATTTAGAGGCTATGAAAGAGTATTGTGACATCACACTGCAACCCTAACAGCTAAAACATAGCTGATATATTTGCATTACATTTGAGCTGTACTGAAGGAATCTCTTTTCCTGACAAAATGCAGGCAGAGAAAATTATCATTAAAAGGTCACTATTTAGGAACAACATTGGTCACTCCTGTCATCATCATCAAACAGCATTTGACAAGCATGAAGCAATATTTCTCCCTGAAATCCCTGCCACAAAAAGGCATAAGATAATATACTAACCCCTGATTTTGCCATATTTTGAAAATATCTCTTCCATTTCTTCACGAGTCATGTGGTCTGTGGGCAAATTGCCGACAAAAAGTCTTCTCTCTAAATCCTGAGGATTGGTGCTGTTAGTGAAGTCGCTCTGTTTGATGCTATTGCTCTTGCGTCCTCGAGCCATTTTGCTTTCGTTCCAAATCCAACTCTTCGCAAAAAAAAAAAAATGGCCATGCATATAATTTCAATCCATGACATCAAAATTAAACTGGAACAAGATTAAACTTAACAGCTTTGCAGACTAGAAGCCAACTGGGTCTGCTTGACGCAAACTTCACTCCAGAGAAATCTTAATACGAGGGACACCGAGGTCAGGCAAAATCACTCACTGCAGCATTCTGGCTGAGCTTTTCTGTAATACTGAAAGGTAGCAAACCTAATTATTTTGCAGATAGGTTTTAACGGTTTGACTCCAAACTAAGATACAAATAAAACTAATTTTCCACTAAATCTCCTTAACTTTAAGCTTTTCAACATGCCCATTGTTGTCATATCTAGTTCTTCAATCCACTGATAAGAAATATTGAAATTTATGCAATATTTTAATAAGCTGAAAGGAAACACTCATTGCAACACTGCATAACAGCACCCAAATATTCCAGCAGGGCTTGGAATGAGGCATAAGGAAATAGTGCTGAAATACTCCTAAGTGACCACACCTGATCACTGCACTACATGTGAAATCTCAGCTTTCCAACCCCAGAAAGCACAGGTCCTTATCTGCATCTCTGTTAGAAGCACAGCCTTGTCCCCATGGAGATGTCAGCTCCCACAGCAGGCGGGTCCATAGCTGGGAATTCAACCACCCCCAGGTAAATGCTGCACCCTTCCTCACCTCTCCCATGCAGAAAAAGCACATTCCCTTAGCCCACACCGCTGCACGCAGCTGGAGCAGTCAGCAACATTCACTGCACAAACTCACCCAAACAAATAAAAAAAAACCACCCCAGCAAAAAAAAAAAAACATAACAAACACTGCCAAGCTAACAAAAAACACCATCCCCAGGATTCACACTTTCTGGTTTAAAATTCACCATTAGATAAAGCTTAAAGAAATTAATAACACTGAAGCTTTCAAGGTGAACTTAAAAGTTTGAGAATTATTTAATAAAGTTGCTCTACTTCCTAAACATTCACCTACAGGAATGCAGGATGGGATTTTCTGTTTGTAACATGCAAGAAGCTTGGAAAAAGAAAGATGATGAAATTGAGTGTATCAACAGAAACTTCTCTTTTTAATCATGCAATGCCTACAACCAAGATACTCCCTAACAGTAGCCTGGAGTAAATACAATTTCAAAGTCATCTCTAAATAAATAAATGTCAAAATAGGTAAGTCGACTCTATATGAATACTTTTGCAACATTTAACTGACATGAAAAATACATCTACTCCAGATCTGACACAAAAAATGTATTTATTTATCTTTTAAAGGATCAATCAACTTCACATTTGCATCACTCTTGCCCCTTTTTAGGAAACCCTGCAGAGAACACTTCCCTGTCTAATCAACTTTTTTTAATTAACTGCCAGATCTGGGGTGAGGAAAACAAAACCCAACACCCAAAACAAAATCCAACAAAATTAATCTCCTCTATCATATTTGCCCCAATCCCCCTGCAAGCTTGTCCACGCACATACACAGAGTTTTATCTTCCCCAAGAGAAGGACCAAATCCCTTTTTTTTTTTTTTTAACACAAAAGCACTGGACTCCTATTCCACTATCGCAGCTCAAGTTCTCATCAGTTGAGGGTAGAGAAGCTTTCAAAATTCCCTCAAAATGAATAAGAGGCAATAAAACATGGAAGGCACCATCCAGCCCAAGTTCCCATTCAGAGCAGGATGCAGTGCACAGGCACACAGAGCAAACAGGTGTCAAACAGGCCTGTGGCTGCTGGCAGGACATCTCACTTTCAGGATAAAAAGCTGTAAGAAGGAAGCTGTTTGTGTTCCTTAGGGGTGGGGATAGCAGGGGGTGTCTGAGGAAGAGGCTGCAAGAACTTTCCACGTTAAGAAAAACAGAGCTATTTTCCCACTTCAAAACAATCAGTAAATCAGAACTCTCATCTAAGATAATTCACTGCCTCTTATCATTTACCACGCAGCAGATTACATAGTTAAGGACCATTTAGTGATCATAAGACCAGAATAACTGAACGTTGTCCCACCTCTGGGCACTCTACATCAGGTGAACACCTAATTGCCACATTAAGCCTTGTTGTACAGGCAGCCAGAGAGGCACCGGCAGAGTTTAAAGGTGCCAATTCCCCGTGCAGCACCTGCGGGTCCTACCACAGCACAGCCCACAGCACCTCACGAGCCAACAAATCCTCTGGAAATTAATTAAAGCCACATCTCTCTAAAAATCTTATATTTAAAACCAGAGTTGTTTATTAATAGCGCTACAGCTTCAAGGAAGCAAGACTGCTGGAGCGGGGTATTGCAACTCATTTGCCACAAGCGAAACGCGACACAAGTCCCCGTGAAGTTCTGGGGCAGAGCACAAACAGCGGGCACGGGAGGCAGAGGCGCCGGGGAGCGGGGAGCTTCCCTCGGAGCAGAGCCGCGCTCTCCCGAAAGGGCCCGCGGGGGCAGCGCTGGCACCGCCCGTCCCGGCCCCCCGCACCGGGGCACACGCGGGGCCGTCCACTCGGTAACCCGGGGAGCGCCTCCGCCTTCCTCCCGCCGGCAGAACGCGCCCCGCCCCGCCCGGGCCGCGGGCCCGCCGCAGCTCCTGGGGCAGCGGGGAGGGACCCCCGGCCGGAGCTTCACCGGCGGCCGCCGCTCCCGCCCCTGCTTCCCCTACCTCCGTCCGGGCCTGGGCGCTGCCAGCGCCGCTCAAGCCGCACACCGGCTGCTGCGGGGGAGCGGAGCAGCCCCATCCAATCCCGGTGATCCCGCGCTGCCCGGACGCGAGGCGGAGGCGCGGCCCGCCCGCAGGCCGCGAGGCACGCCCGGCCCGGCCTCAGCCGAGAGCCGGGAGGGACCGGGCCCTCTGCGGGGCTCGCTGCCGTAACCTGTCGCTCGGGCGCTCCGCGTACCGGACCCGCAGACTCACCGCCGCTCCCGGCCCGGACCCGGTGCCCCGTCAGGCCGCCGCCGCCAGGACAAAGGCGCCACCCGCCACTACCGCACGGCGCCGTCGCAAAGAGGAGGAGGGGGGGGAAGCAGGGTCGCTATGGCGACGTAGCGCGCTTTCCGGCGCGGCAGCGTACCGCCATGCCTGCCGAGGCAAAGGCCGCTTGCCCCGGCTCCCGGCACATCCCGCGGTACGGCCCCGCAGGGCAGGCCGGGAGTTGTAGTGCCGAGGAGGCCAGACGGCCGCTGGGTGGCGCTATCGGACCTCGCGCGGGGGAGGCGGCGGAATCGGGATAACAAATAAAAAAAAACCACCCCAGCAGTCAGAGTCAGACTGGGACAGGGACCGGGATCGGGATCGGGATCAGACTGGGACCGGGACCGGGATCGGGATCAGAATCAGACTGGGACAGGGACCGGGACCGGGGTCAGACTGGGACAGGGACCGTGATCAGATTGGGACAGGGGATCGGGATTGGGGTCAGACAGTGACAGGGACCGGGGTCGGGGTCAGACTGCTGTTGAGACAGGAGTACGGGTCGGGGTCAGACGGGGACCGGATGGGGCTTTGGAAAGGGACCGGGACCGGTGTCAGGATCGGGACCGGGGTGGGGATCAGAGCAGGACAGATTCTGAGACTGGGGCCGCGATCGGGATCAGACCGAGACCAGAACCGGAGTCAGGATCAGACTGGGACCGAAGTCGGGATCGGTCCAGACGCAGGGCCAGGATCGGAGTGTCGCTGCCCCGTTCCAGGGGTGGCGTCCCCGTGCTGCGCCCGTAGCCCCGGCACCGCCCCGAGCAGCAGCTGCCCCGGTACTCTGCCCCGCTGTGCGGGGAGCGGGACCGGGGGCTCTCATAGGGGCTCCCGCCGGAGCAGCTCCTGCCGCCCGGGAGCATCGGGCCCCGCTGCCGCCCGGGACCGGGAGCAAGGGGCGCTCACAGCCCGCGGCCACAGGAGACCCTGCTCAGGCAGTGCCCGTCGCCGCGGGGATTTCCCAGGCCAGGCCCACGGCAGTCGGAGCCAGAAATCCCCTTCTCTCCGCAGCCGCCCCCTTTGCCCTCGAGATTCCCCAGGGACCCTTCGTGCTCCCGGGTGAGTCAGTTCTGGGAAGTGACATTGGGCCGGGGAATCCAGAGCGCTCGGTTCCCCAGTTCTCGCTGCCCGCGGGGAGCACGCTGCCCTTCTCCCCGGGAGCAGCTGTGACCTGGCCGATTGTGGCCAGCAGCCTCCGGCTGGGGCCGAGGTCGTGACCGTGACCGGGCAGGAGGCTGCTGCGGTGTGTCCTCTCCGGCATCGCGGCAGTGTGGCAGCAGTGCCATAAGTGACCGGGGCACCGAGGTGACCGGGGCACCGAGGGGCGCTGGGGAGCCACCGTTCGCTGCCCAGCCACCGCAATGCCAAGGGAAGTGCCGGGAACGTCTCCGGAGCGGGCAGGGATCCTGGAAGTTCCCTGGGGGTGGCTGGGAACCACTTTGGGGAACTGAGATGAAGGTACAGCGACGGCACAGCACTGTTGCCCCTTCCCCTTTCAGGACTGACGTATTTGCGGGGACACTCCGCACAGGCCAGGGCTCTTGGCGGCCCTGGGAGGCTCTCCAGGGCTGCAGCCAGAGGGGCTCTCCCAGACCACAGTCGGGGGGGCCCTCCAGGTCGACAGCTCAGGGGCTCTTAAAGGCTAAATAAGAAAAAAACCCAAAAAACCTCTCTGAGTTGCTGTTGGAAAGAAGAAGTGAAAGCTGGAGCTCCTTGCGGGGGGGTGCTGCACGGGCGCTCCCCTCCCATTCCCACGGACCCCGGCCGACCCCTGCCCCTTCCCCTGCTCCTGCCCCTTCCCCTGCTTCTGCCTGCGGCCGTGGCTCCGGGCCGGGGGTTCCCGGGGGAGCAGCGCGGGGCTCGGGGGAGCCGGCGGGGAGCGGTCCGCAGCCGGGGCCGGCGGGGAAGCCCCGGACAGGGCGGCCCAACGCCCCTTCCTGGGCGGGAACGGACCGAGGCGCTCTTAGGAGGGCGGCGGCGGCGGTCGGGGCGCAGCGCCATGAACCGGCTGGGGCTTTTGGGACTGCTCTGCGCGGCGATGCTGGGCGTGAGTGGGGCCGGGATCGGGCAAGGAGCGGGACAGGGGCAGAGGCGGAGGGGATCCCTCCCTCTCTGTGTCCCGCCGGGCTTTCCGGGAAGGGGCACGCTCCGGCCGCTCCGGCCCGTCCCCTCGGCGCAGCCACCCCCTCCGGGGAGCCCCGGGGCTGTGCGCGATGGCGAGAGCGGGACCCGGCGGCGCTGCCGCCTGGGGTCCGTCGGGCCGCTCTCCCGGGCCCCAGCCAGGGCGGAGGAGCTGTCTGGACTGCCTGGTATCCTCTCCAGGTCTTCTACCCACGCGCTTTCGCTTTCCTCCGGTGGCGCAGGCCCGGCAGCCCAGCCCCACCCTGCGCTCGCTCGGGGGTCCCCACGGGCAGGGACGGGCAGCGGCGAGCCTCGGGACGCTCGGCTGGGACCCCCAGTCGGGCGGGACGCTGGCAACGGCTGCCGGCGCTTCTTTAACTTCTCGGTTGCGTGTGGGCGGCTGGTTCGGCCCCGCAGCCTCATCGCTGTCCCGCGCCGGGGCTGCTCGAGGTGCCCACGGGGGTGGGCTGTGCCCGGCCGTGCTGGGTGCTCGTCCATGGCACCCTCGGCACGGCCCTCTCTCCCTCGCTCTCTGCCGGAGCCCCTGTCCCTCTCCGCAGGATGGCCAGGCGGATCTGCCGGGCTACAGGGATGGGCAGCGAGGGGCTGGCTCTGTGAGAGGAACGGTGCTCCGGGTGCCCTCTTGCACGCTGTCTTGCCCGAGAGCTCATTCCCTGCCTCGTTTTTACCATTTCCTGTGCAGGTAGTCCCCTGCCAGGAGGAGCAAGGGCAGGCTCTGGCAAAGTTTGCATGGGTGATGCGCTTGGCTGGGGCTTTCCTGTCCCTCAGGGACGGCGTGTCAGCCTTGGGAAGGGGCTGGCAGTGCTCTGGGCGTGAAAGCTTGGTGATCACTGCTCCCCCTGGGAGGTACTGCAGTATTGTTGGCAGGGGCACAGGGTGATGTGCAATCACCTTATGGTAGGAAATGTGGGGAAATGTGGAGCAACTCTGCCGGAATCACTGCCACCCCACTTCAAAGACAGCACAGATGGCATCAGGCAGCGTGGGTGGCTGCTGTGGTCTGTGGTTAGTGGAGGTGTGGGAAGAGCAGCATGGGGAAGCCCTCACCTCAGGGTGCAGGTTAGCAGACGTGTCTGTGGAAGCACGGTGGTGCAGGAGCGTTGGATATGAATTCACAGGTCTTGTTTCTTCCAGTGCTGGGAACCTGCTGATGCCATAACATGCTTTGATAAGCAGTATATCTACAAGGGCAGATGCTGCAATCGGTGTCGTCCAGGTATGGAAACCCTTTCCTGGGGATCTCACAACTGGGCTGTGCCAGGACCTACTGCCTGGCCACAGCGGGGCAAGCTTGGCTAGGTGTGATGGAGCCCCTCCACCTCACTGCCAGCAATGCTGACAGCTTCACCTCCTTGTGTCATCTCAGTGATAGAGCAGCTGGGACTTTGTGGGTGGTCTTGGAGACCCCTTGTACCTCAGCAAATGTGCCACAGCTCTCTTGGGACTGTTTGTGCTCTTGCAGCTACAGGACCCCATGGCAAAGGCAGCTTCGTGGGGAGAGTGCTGGCACTGGCACTAGCAAATTGTGATGGTGTTTGCCAGCTGCTGCTCTCACTGTCAGGTCATCTCCCAGTCCCTGGAGTGCAGGAGGGACCCCACAGCCCTCCCTCCCCACCTGGCCCCTGCAGTATTTGTGGTAATCAGGCGAGCTGACTCCTTCAGCCCTGGCTTCCATGCAGAATGGTGCAGCAGTCCTGGCATCCACAGCTGCCAGCCTTCCCCTGTCCTGCTGGCAGAGGTGCTGTCTGGAGAGAGGGAAAGCCCCTTTGTCCCTTCCTCACCAGCCTCTATTGCAGGGGAAAAGCTGGTCTCTGAGTGCAGTAAAACAGAAGACTCTGTCTGTGCCCCTTGTGAGAGCGGGCACTATCAGCCAAGCTGGACCAAGGAGAAGCACTGTGCTCCTCATGATATCTGTGAAGGCAGTAAGTGCTCCCTGTGACCACTGACCCCAGCCTGGGGGGACTGGGGGGATTGGCTCTCCTGCTTGGTGTCTCACCTCATCCATGTTCCCTCTGCCCAGATGCCGGCCTCATTGAGAAGATAAAAGGAAATGCAACACACAACACGGTGTGCCAGTGCCGGGCTGGCACACACTGCTCTGACATCAGCTGCCAGACCTGCGTGGAGAACCAGCCTTGCCAGCTTGGCTCTGGCTTTGTGGCAGGTAAATCTGACAAGCTGTTCCCACTCAACAGGACTGATGCCCTGCCAGCGCTGACCTCAGGGAATGGGGGCTCCCCCAGCGTGGTACCCCCTGGCAGGGCTTTGGGACAGCTGTGCCATTGTCACAGGGCGTGCTGCACATCTGGACTCTGCAGCCCCTTGCCCCCTCAGGCCCTCACTCCCCGTAGCCCTGCTGACCTTCCTGCCATCTCTGCTCCTCTGCAGCCAAGGCCATGGACCGGATGTCATCCCCCTGTGAACCCTGTGCAGAAGGCACCTTCTCCAACGTCTCGTCTAAAACCGAGCCGTGCCACCCCTGGACAAGGTATTGTCTGAGTATAGACCATGTCCTCCCACCAGCCCCAGTGAGCACATCTCTGCTGCCAGTTTTCTTGGTGGCCTTGGGGACTGGGCAGCCGGGCTGGTCTCTGAGGGACACAGCATCTGGCTGGTGTAGGGCCAGAGCAAGAGAACAGGGCTAGGAGCACAGTGTGGTCCAGGACAGCATTGGCTGAGGTTGAGGCAGACATTCAGGGGCTTGTGTCTGTCCCTTGCTCTGTGCGCAGACTGCTTGTCCCTTCAGGGGTGTCCATGCTGTCATCCATGCTGGAAGTAAGGGGTCAGGATCTATGGGGATGCCCCATGCCCTGTTCAGGTTCTCTCTCCCAGTGCTCTCTGTGGCTGTAGTCATCAGCCAAAGCACAAGTCCTCTCCATGGGGAGTTTGGCTTTGAGGATGCCATCAACTGGCAGGTCATCCCTGTCTTTAGAAAGCTGCTTGAGGGTTAATTGCAGTTCTTGGTAGAAACATGAGCCTTATTTCCAAGCTGAATTAGTCTTGCTTCAGCTGCCAGCCATTGGATTTCACTTTGCTTTTATCTATGCCCAGAAATTACTTCCCCACAGAGCCACTTGTAGCCTATCTTAGCTTTTCTGTCATAGCTACAGTGCTCAAGCCCTGGGGGCTTCCCTGACCGGACAGGTCTGCTCCGTCCTGTGCCTTGTCCCTGAACTTGTTCCCATCCTCAGCAGTTTCAGCAACTCCAGGCCAAGCCCCAGGGTTGGTACCCTGCTGTGTACCTGCTGTCCCCCTCATGCTGTGTTGGTGGGGGTTCCCCTGCTCACCCTACTGGAACTTGGTGGGCTCAGAGCAGGATGTGTTTTGGGGCAGCTCGGGTACCTGCCCAACCCCAACTATTCCCTGAGCTCGGGTTACTGCTATGGTTACATGGTCTTGTTCTTCCCTGCAGTTGTGAGGAAAAGGGGCTGGTGGTGAAGGTGAAAGGGACGAACTCCTCGGATGTGATCTGCGGTAAGTGCCTGGTGCCCAGGGCTGATCCAGTGCAAAGCACAGAGCACCCAGGGCTCCAGCCCCTGCAGCACTCAGAAGAGCTGGCCTCATGCTTGGTGTTTTGGGAGAGGAAGGCCTGAGTGCGTGGCCAGTGTGATGCCTTTCTGCCTCTGTCTCCATGAGGGATCCCTGTGGGGCTGGGGCATGACTCCATGTCCCGTGGGTGCCTCACTGACCTGTGTCCTCCTGCAGAGTCGAGCAGGCGCTCCTCGCTGTCAGTGCTGATCCCCATCACAGCTGCAGTTGTCACATGCCTCGTGGGTGTCTGCATCTACTGCCTGGTGCACACAGGTGAGGGGCTAAAGCATGTGAACTGCTGCCTTGGCCAAGGGAGGGAGAACCTTTGGGAGGGGCCATAGAGGGGTGAAGGGTTGAGCCAGGGAGGACAGCAGCAGCTCTGCTGAGAGTGAGGAAGCTCCTCTGGGGATGTCAGCAGGACAGGGTTTGCTGAGTCCTGCTCTGCCTTTAGGAGCAGGTGTGTTGGCACTGCTGCAGCCTGAGCTGGGCCGGCTCTTGGGTGACAGCACTGGTGCCCCATGAGTCCATTCTGGCTCCTGCTGTGACCCCCAGCCTGCCCAGCCTGGCAGTGGCAGCAGGCATAATGTGAGCCGCAGGACCTGTGGTGCAGCAGCATCAGCCCTGCCTCTGACCCCGGGAAGCTCCTTGCAGGGCAGGAGCACTTCCCCCTGAACATTGTCTTCTCTGTCCCTCTTTCCATCCAGATTCCAGGCGACGAGTGCCAAAGGAGGTGAGTCTACCTAGAGCCCCCTCCAGCAGTGGGTCGGGATCCCGCCTGGGCACAGCTGGAGATGTGCCAGCAGCAGAGCAGGGGCTGTAGCTTTGCAATGCAGGAGGGGTGGGGGCTGAACTAGGCTGCCTGGCTGGGGCAGGACAAGGGCTGGGGCAACCTGAGGGTGTTGCTGGCAAGTGCTGAGCATTTGGGAGGGACCCATACTCTGGCCTGCAAGGGAGTGTAGCAGGAGCCTGTGGAAAGGTGTGGGTGCAGAGTGGGGGAATGTAGCTGCCTGCCCCTGACCCCTGCCCCTGTGCAGATAGAGGCTGGGGAGCCCGGAGAGAACCCAGATACCCAGCAGCCCATGGAGCAGGATGAGAATGTCTTGCCTGTGCAGGAGACCCTACTCAGGGGCCAGCCTGTGGCCCAGGAGGATGGCAAGGAGAGCCGCATCTCGGAGCAGGAGATGCTGTGAAGGCACAGGGCACTGCCCCCGACAGGAGCACAGACTGGACAGCACCATCTCCTCTGTCCCCTCTCCAGCTGGGGAGGAAATCTGGCATCTGGCCTGACTGCAAATGATGTGATGCTGCAATGGACCATGGCACGACCACCCTACGGGAATACCACTACAACTCCTGGTCTGGTCACCTGCACAGGGCTGCCCTGGTGGAGCAAGGCTTGGCTGCTTGCATGGGGACATGGAACAGAACCCCATCCTGCTTCCTGCCCAGGTGATGCAATGACCTGGGTGGCTGCTCACCTGCTGAGCCCTTGCAGAGCCCCTGGCCACAGCAGAGTGTCACTGCTGACAGGAAGACCCCAGCACAGATCCCTGTCTCCCTGAGTGCTGGAGAAGCCAGGGCTGGGAAAGGGGGCTGCTGGTGTGAGATCCCCGCGGCAGAGTTCAGTCCCGTGTCTGGGGTGCTGTGGAAGCGCTGCCCGCGGTGGAGCAGGGCCTGCTGGCGTCCGGACAGGGCACCCCGGCCCCTGCCGGGCTCCGTGGGAGGAACGCAGGCAGGAGCGGCGGTCGCACGGCTCTGCCCGGGGCCGGAGCGCAGACACCGGCGTGCGGCGGCCGGGAGATGGTGCTGCGGGACCGGCGCGGGCTGCGCGGGGCGGGACCGGCACCGCCCGCCCCCGCCCCGTCCCGCCTCCGCTCCAGATGGCCTCGGGGGGCTCTGGCCTCGGGAGGCTCTGGCCACGGGCTTGCCCAGCGCGGGGCCCCCTCCCGCGGCTCCCCTGCCCGTCCGTGCGGGAGCGGCCGCGCTCCATCACCCTCCAACCACCGCTGGCGAAACCGTGTGATTAAACGCGATTATCTGCCCCTGTGCGTGAGCAGCCCCGAGCCCCTGCCGCCCACCGGCACCCCCGGGACCGGCGCTCCCAGCTCTGATGTGCCGGGAAGGATGCTTTGGAAATGGGCGGGTGCTCCCAAGGCAGAGGCTCCCGGGAGAGGAGGGAGGGAAGAGCTGCCACCAGCTGTGCTGACCCCCACCGTGCCCCAGGCCCTCCCCAGCACACCTGGCCCCACTCCCCTGCATGCGCTTCCCCTGTGGCTGCCGTCCCTGGCCCCCGCAGCAGGAGCTGTCCCAGCACAGCCATGCCCAGCGGAGGCAGGGATGCGGGCAGGGCTGCCTGCAGCAGGCAGCTCCGTGCCCCGAGCCTCGCTGCTGTGGCAGTAAAATGCACAGGTGGGGTCCATCGCGCTGCAGGGCAGCACTGTGGGTGCTGCGGTGTAGCAGCGGAGTCACCCCGGGCTCCAAAGCACTGGTGTGGGGCTGCAGCAGCACTGAGCCTGCTGCAGGCTTTAGGTACTGGGAGCAGCCTCAGCCTGTGACCCACCACTATCTGAACACAGGCAGCACGGCATGAGAAAGGCCATAAATCCTAGAGCAGGAGCAGCTGGAGCATGGAGCAACTTTGCCAGTACAGGCAGTGGCACATTATTTAAGGCTCCTCTTAAAACCTAATGTTAGGTTTAATAAGGGAGATAAAAACATGGCAGCAGTTTTCCCTCCTCTCAGGGCTTGGCAATCCCAGCAGTGCTTGTGGGATGGTCTCAGGCTGTGCAGCATTCCCTTGGCACCAGCCCAGAGAACACCCAGTTCTGGGGACAGATGTGATCCTGCTCCTGCTGGAGGAGAAGGTGTTATGTGGACCACAGATGGAAAGTCTTTGGCCCCAAACATGAAGCCTGTGGCCCCAGATGGTTTCCAAAGGACTGTCCCCAGGTGGCAGGCTGAACTCTGGGGCCACCTCCCCATTTCCCCCGGGGCTGACCCTTCCCTGCTGGTGTGCAGCGTGCTCAGTGCCCGCTCCTGTGTGTCACACATGTACCGTCTCATTAGCACGTCTGTCCCCCAAAGTGAGAAGGGAGAGCGCGTGAGGCCTAATTGAATGTAACTAATTATTCACTCTGCAAATGCTCTGTTTAAATGGGATTGTGAGGGACAGAATTACTCATTCTGAAAAGGGGAGAGAAAAAGAGAAAGACAGAGATAAAACAAATAGAGGCGGATGCTGGAGCTGCAGCTTGCTCTCTCTCCCCAGAATACCAATTACTGGATGAAGTGATTGTATAAATCTTTACCGAGTGAACGGACTGTACTAGTCACTTACTCCGGTCCTCTTATTATGAGGAAGCAATGAAAAATCATCCCACTCTCCAGTCCAGTTAAGGGTTCCCAGTCGCTGTCTTGGGCAATATCTCACCGGCTGGAGAGCTTGTCCTGGGGCTTTCTCAGGGTGGGGGGTCCCACTGAGACAGGGCTGAGCACTTGGCAGGAGCCCACACCCCTCCTGCACTCCCAGCCCTGGGGAGGAGCAGTGGCTGTGCACGCTCTGGGGAGGTGCAGGGCTTCTGCCCCAGCAGGAGCCAAACCATGCCATGCAGCCCCCTGGGACATGGGGAGACGTGGGCTGGCCAAGGGCCCCGGTGTCACACATGTCACCCAGGGACCCCGGTGTCTGGCTCAGTGGCACTCCTGGTCTTGACCCCTCAACTTGTTCTTGCCTTCTGTGGGTCCAGCCCTGCCAGCCCCCCCTGGTCTCCTCCACTAGCTCCTGCAGTGCTCACTGAAAAGGGAGAACATGGTGTTTCCCAACCTCTTCCCACACTGCAGTCAATGTTTCTCACTCAGGGTGTCTCTGCTCCACTGGTTGCAGAAATGCACTTATTCACAGTGACCTCCATCACTCTTGCCTGCCACATCTTTTAAACCCAGATCCCTGCAGACACCCACATTTCTGTTCTCAGTAGTGGTGTGGGATGGGAGAGGAGGTCCTGGCCACGCAGAGCTGCGAAAGCTGAGAATCCCCCTGCACCCTGCCATCAGTGGGGAGCACCCACATTCTGGGGTCCTGCTGCATGAGCTGGTGAGGACCCAGCCAGTCCCATACTCCCTGCAGGCAGCCCCGGGTCCCCCTCACCACAAGGCACCCACGAGGGGCTGGTTTAGGGGGACAAAGACCACCTGGTCTCCACATCCTGCAGCCAGAAACAGAGGGACCCCTTCAGAGGGGCCTGCAGGTGCTATTCCAGAGAAGCCACAGGAATTGTGTGGTGGGTTCAGCTGGTGGGGAAGACAGGCTGGGCACAAGTCAGTGCTGAGAGGGTAAAACCTCCAGTCTGTCCTGCCTTGTTCTGGTTGGGGATTTGATTGTTGCCAGCAGCGAGTTTCCATGCACTGGAGATGTGCGTGTGTGGGTGTGAGGGAGAGATAACATCATCATCATCATAACAAATGCAGTTGTGCAGCTCCATTCTCTGCTTATTGGCTTTCTTCTCTTTATCTATAAATAATTGCGGGGACACAATAGACTTTTAAGTCTGCCAAAGACTTTGTCTCCCTCCAGCAACCGTATTGCTACAGTGCTGCCACCTTATCTGCTTGTAGAAGGATGAGGGTGGGAAAAATATTTACTGTCAGGGATATTTGTCATCTGCAAATTACTCCGCCTACAGTTCGCAGCGGGGATGGGACTGACAGCACCGATCTGTACTGTGGGAGTGTGAGCACAGGGGGTCTCCACACTGCCCCAGACCCACCTGAGCCTCGTCCCATTAGCTGGTGGGGTGGGCAGCAGCAAGCTGGCAAACCCACCATGTGTGCAAAGCCATTCCACAGGGATGGGGGATACAGGTGATGGTGCTGAAGCAGGCGCCTGGCAAGTGCCTTGACACAAGGTCCTTGACACAGAGGATCACCTTGGTGGGACTGGGACATCAGGCTCAGAGGTTTGCCAAGTTGCCAGCCCCTCCCCAAGCCTGCACCCCCAGGCTGTGCAGCAGCCCCAGGCACTGATCACTGTGAGAGCCCCAGGCCTTGCTGTTCTGCAAAGGCCAAGAGTGCTGGATGCTCCACCATTCTCTCAGCACCCAATGTCCCTGCCAGCCCTGCTCTGCCTGCTGCTGCCAGCCCCACCAGGCTCGCTCTCTGCTGGAACTCCTCACATCCTGCAGCCCAGAGGCCTTTGCACAGCACTTATCACTGCAGTATCCAAGAACCGATCTAATTGATGTGACACCAATTATTCCTGTATCACTAAATGCAGAATTAATGCATCTGTGTGTACAAACCTCCTAGACCCTGACCATGAAATTACGACTTTGACATGAAAAGAGCCAGAGCCCTGGAACATCATGTCTCAGCTGAGCCCCCATCACTGCAGCTGTGGCCAGCCCTGCTGGGACACCTTCCTGATGGCCACACGGACCACGCAGGATCCCTGAATCATCCAGCTGGCTGCACAAAGAGCTGGGGCTTGTGGCTCTTTGCAGACTGGGCTGCAGCCATGGTGGTCCCACACAGCCATGCCAACCCACGCAGCACCAGCCCAAAAGTGAGTGCTGGCAGAGCTACCCTGGCTATTGTGACAGCCAGCCCAGGGAGCTGCATGCTCCACAGGGCAGAGCAAAGCCATTTCTGGGCTGCTCAGCACAGCTTATGCAGACTGCAAAGCTCTTGGCTTGGACGTGGACTGGTGCTGGGAAAAGCCATTCATTGCACTTGAAATTTTTCTGTGAAATTAGGCTTTGCCTGGACACGCAGGGCTTGGCACAAGCAGAAGTTTGTATTTTGTAAATTGCTTTCTACAATCAATTAAAGAAAAGAGATGGCTGTAGCCAGAGGTGGCACATGAGATGGCTCCAGGTTGGGGCTGGTTCCAGATCCTTGCCATACAGCCCCAGGAGCAGTCCCAGCCCAAAAGGAGCAGCCTCAGAATGGGGAGATAATGTGGCTGGGCAGAGCCTCACCAGGTGGAGGAGGAGGTGGGCAGCTGTGAGGGGGGAGGATGGCCCCATCAGGGGCTGCTCTTCTGCCCCTGTGCCCACACTGACCACTGGGGTCACATGGAGCTGCTCCCAGGCCTTTGCACTGTGCCAGTCAGTGGCAGCTCAAGCTGGAGCCGTCCTGGAGATGAACCCTGTCCCCTCCAGCCTCATCCCAGCGCCAGCACCCCTGATACTGGCAGCACGCCATGGAGCCAGCACTGCTCCAGGGCAGCAAAGAAGAGAGGTCCCAAGTGAGCTGGGGGTGCAGTGAGGCTCAGCCAACATGGCAAAGCTCTGGTACCCTTTCCCATCCCATTTGGGCAGAGCATGGTGAGCACAGCATGTGTCAGGCTCCTCGGATGGCGAAGGGCTTGCCCTGGTTCTGGTTTGCTCAATGTTTTCATTAAGGACCTGGATGATGGAATAGAGAAAGTGCTTATTAAATTTGCAGATGACACGAAGCTGGGAGGGACTACAAGTATCTTGGAGGACAGGATTAGAATTCAAAATGATCTTGACAAATTGGAGAAATGGACTGGAAAAAATAGGATGAAATTCAACAGGGACAAGTGCAAGGCAGTGTGCTGAGCACGGGAACAATCAGCTGTGCAAACACAAGCAGGGCCGGCGGTGTGGGGGCCAGCTGGGCATGAGGCCACACAGGCATGGGGCAGGCACGGGGCATGGGTAGGCAGGAGGCTCAGGCTGTCTGCTCAGCCTGAGCTGGGAGGTAGGGCCATGAAGAGGCAGGAGGAATGGATGGAGGGAGTGAGAGGAACTTCTGTCCGCCTCAAGCACATGCTGACCTCTTGGAGCTGTGCCATGGGCTCCCCTGTGGTCTCAGGCACTTCTCCCACCTGGCCAGGAGCTACAGTGAGATCTGGCAGCATCCCAGCCCCTGTACACTTCAGGTGTGTGGCTGAGCAGAGGTCCCCTGCTGGGCTTCTCAATCCCCTGCCTTTGCCAGCTCAGAGCCAGGGCAGACACTGCCCTGCAATGCTCTAGGGAGATGCCCCAATGCCAGCTCCAAAAGATGCTCAGCCCTACAG